TACTTCCTACTGAGCTCCCATCTTTTTCACCTTGATTAAGAGTAGCAAATGTAAATCATTGTCTTGCCAAAGGACATTAAGGTTACAGATGAGTTAGTTTTTCTCAGCGAGGAGCATATATTGAGTAAAGTCCATGGAGATTTTACAGTTCATTTTCTAAAGATTAACCCATAGAAAAAGAAGATACCGTAAAAGAAGAAATATTTGCAGTATATTAATTTTTCGCGGATTTCGCGCTAAGATCGACAGGCGCGAATTTTATAACTCATGAAAATATAAGCATGACTTCTTATGCATGCTTTGAACAGGCTGAATTGCGTGCAACGCAAATATGTTTTGGGGTCACTCAGCGTGAAAAAATTAATCACACAAAAAATAACAGCGTTTACAGTAATCACCTGAAATAGTTGATATTATACTTTGCGTCTCTTAATGGGGCAGAAAGATAAGAGAAAGATTAGATAGTACTGTAGTGCAAATAAACACATTATAAGAATGTCTGTGTGAATGATTGCACATTATGTCTTTTATGACAATTCAATGAATGGATAATCACTGATAGTGCAGTCTGATGTCATTCTGTTCAAAGTCCACTTTGATATATTTTAAAGAGAAGGTTTAGATCTGGGAATGGTGAAAAATAATTTGTGAGCTTTTTTACTCTTGTTAATGTATGTCAGTTTTGAAGAGTATTGTAGAAGAAAGGTCCTCCTGATTAGATGGCTCATCAAGACTGGTCCAATCTCTTATCATTCTGATCATACACCAACCCATACATGCTTCATTGTACATGATTAACCTTTCTAATTGCTTCCACATAGTTTCTTTCACAATGCAATCCAATCTTATGACCAGAACTCAACTTTAAACAAAAATCGAAAAGAAGGATGTTGACAGAAAGGCTAATGAGTCAAGGCAAGGTCTCTGTCCTTTTTACCACAGCGTAAGAAATGATGAGAAGTTGGATATAGTGTAGTCTTACAGGGCTTCAGGAATGCTAATCCATGCTTTTAGTAACCCCCCCCCCCCCCCCTCTTTCACACAAGGAAAGTTATTGAGGGCTGAGGGAGAGAGGGGGGTTCTTGCATTCATTTTCTACCTGTGCCTCGATTAAATTCATTTGTAATCAAAACAAAACTTTTTTTTTTGTTGGAGGGGGGGGGGGGGGGGTTCTTGAGGGGCTTGAGCCCTCATGCCCCCCCCCCCCCCTCTTGAGCTGCTTTTGCTGTGTACGTATACAAATTAGTATACATGTATAAACATAGAAGACTTTTAAAGAAAAAATACATCCCTACGCCAAAATTTATTTTTCTGGTGTGAAGAGGTCCTCAGTGTTTTGTGGACCTATTTAGAGCCTAATCGATTCAGGAAGGCAGAGATGGAACTCATCTATGAAAGGTCCCTCAACTCATCAACTCAAGGAAATCTACACAACTTCCTCATTACTCAAATACCTTCAACCATTGATGGTAGATTTCATTAAGAGGTTAGGAATCGAGTAACAACAAATGTGTCTTTTCATCCTTTGGCGGTTTTATTTTATCAAACTCGGAAATCCCATCTTTTGTCTTGAGGAGGTTTATGCGTGATTCTTTAATTTGTAAAATGGGAATTGGGCTCTTGTAGATACCTCTGTATTGTTAATAGTATGTGGAGTTCAGTATATTCAGGTTTTATTCATAGCCGAAAGTCCCATAAAAAAATGTTTCTTTTTTTAAAAGTATTTCTTTGTTTCATAGCCAGTCTGACTACTTATAGTTTCAAATGGTTAAGGATGTGTGTGACCCCTTCTAAATTCTCCAATCTCTTTTCTTTTGCTAAAGAAATGTATCAAAGTTAAAAACAATATCCATATTTTCCTTTTAAGTATGGGCAATTAAAATGATATCTAGAGAATGAAACTATATACATACAGGATAATCTGGAACCTTTTAGAGATGTAGAAACTTAACTAGAATTTAAACAATAATTATAAACAAATTAGATAATTTTCTGGAAAACATGCCCAGACAGCATGAGAAATGTAAAATAAGAAATGATAACAATTGATGACGTCCTTCAGTCTGTCCAGTAGGCCAGAACTTGTGTTAAATAATGACCATAACCTTGTATTTATTCAGTGCAAACAAAATTCCTAGCATAGTTCTTATTCCATAACAATAATTATGTAAATGTTATCATACCATGTTGACCGTGGAAAGTGGTGAAAATTGACCTAGAAAAGATGATTGATGTGAAAAATATAGAATGACAAAGAATGATGACACATGCATATAATTGACTCCTCCCTCTATTATAACCTTGTATTCCTAATAATGGACATGAAGGGATAGAGTACTTGTATGGGGATTATCATGAAGCACTAATTTTATATATTTATTTTTAGGGGAAAGGGCATTAAGCATGACAAGTGATCAACCTTTCATTGATCCCCTTCTACCTCCTTCATCTTGTATATCTCGGTCACACCACCCATAGGTCTATGCACCACCAAACCATCATCAGACTGACTCCAAACCGACTGATTCTTGGTCATAGACTTTATGTAATATTTCCATTCGGTCTGTTGTCGATCTTTTTGTTGTGACTAAAGTATAACTGTCACTTTGTTGTCTATTTCTATCTCCCTCCTTACCTCACTGTCGATCTACCAGTCTTCCATTCTGGCTAACTATCTGTCCATCTCTGCAATGTGCCAGATTCTTTCTATCCCTCTCTCATCTTTAATTATGTTCTTTTTATGAAGTCCTTCTGTACATGTCTCCATCTGATGAATACCTCGAATATCACTTTGCAATTCTGTAAAGAAGAGATTGGTAGTTATAAATCTGTGATTGATTGTATCAAATTTTGATTGATTTTGATCAATCACAAATCTCTAGAATACATTGCTCAGGTCTTAAAACTCCAGTAGAAGTGATGATCAAAACATTTCACACTGTGTTAAAGTTCATAAATGTGGTGTACCCCTTCACTGACAGTCTAAACTTGGCCTCGATCAAACCACACAAACCAGCCCACTTTGTCATTGAAACCACACTGTATATACCCCTGATTGATGACATGGGTAAATGATAAAGGTAACAGACCCTAGATGGGTAAATACCAGGACTGTTTGGTTTCCTCCTACATTGCTTATGAAAATGAATCTTGTTAGCTTGGAGCAAACTCACTTGAATGTGATGATGGAATGTATTAACATGTAGGCCTATGTGTACATTGTAAATGAGGGTAACACTCCCTTTCATTTCATGTTTACAGACTAAGAGAGGTGCTTCCATCTTATGTAAAGCATCTATATCTTGTACGATGTCTATGTATACATTAAAGGTAAAGACCAGTATTGGAAACGCCCCAATTTCGAAAAATGAAATGGAAGCTCTCATTACCAATCATGTGAAAGAACATGTTTTGACTAATACATGATGATAAAAAATTTGCCGGGAAACCGCCTACTAATTCATATATTTGGTAAATTTGTTTCTCTCATGGTCTGTGAGAGATATAGGGTAGTCTCATATACATCTTTCTGTGTATAGTGCTTGTAACTTTACGAAGAATGGGCCAAATTTCTTATCATTTTGATGATTCCAGAACCTTGCAGATGCTAGATGCTAGATGATCAACCTTTTCTGATCGATTCCACAACGTTTCTTTCACAATGCAATCGCATGACCATAACTGGTCTTTACCTTTAATATGTATATGCATCTTGTTAAACACCTTTTTCTCTTCATTCTCATCTTCTTATTTACCGTCTCTGCATTATTTTGTAGTGTTTGATGGCATCTCTTTGATATTTGAAATATAATTTAGAGTATGTGTCCATTATGATGTGTCAAAACACCTTTCATTTTTAAAAAAGCATTCATCACATTTCAGAAATGACACAATAAAGATGCCCTATAGGCCTATACACATGAACAGTGAAAAAAATACACGGGGCTTAGGGCGAAATTGCCCCCGAAATGCCCAAAAGAGCCCCCGAAAATCAGAAAAGAGCCCCCATAAATTTGCATAGAGTTCAATGCAAAACAAATTTTAAAGTGTTATTTTTATGCAGGCAAGCTTGAAAAGTAGCCCCCCAAAAATAAATGTTAATTTTTTCCCTGCACATGAAGTATTTAAATGTAGATAATTTGTGATAGCATTTCTTTTTAGAATTAAGAAAATTAAGTTAGAAAAGATAGATAATGTGAATAAAAGTTCCCTTGAAATGTACCTCAAAATGTTGCAGGAGTATATTGAAGCGGATATCTTGAACTTCACATAAAAATTCACATTTCAAGAATGTTGGCAATTTGCAGAATTATTCAACAAGAATGTGTATATCGTTGCTAGAAAATATTGTGCCTGGATTATAAAGACAGTTCATGACTCCATAACTTGATCCTGTGCCACAAGTTGTCAGATTATTTTGCCACCTAATATTAGAATCAGATGGCCCAGTTTCAAGCAGGGTGTACCATGATGTGGTTATGACCATGATTTAATTTGATACAGACGGATACAAGTTGGAAAGGAATGTAATACAGTTACGTGCTCCCTAATAATAGTGACTCCTGTGTCAATATGTTGATTCAGAACGGAATAAAATCAGTACAAATAATGTTTATGTTAAAATCATGATACTACATATAATCATGAGGGTTTGTGCAGTTTAAAAACTGTTTATTCATCTGATGGTTGAAAATCTATACTGGAATATGTATTATGTCTGTATTCTTCTAGTGTGTTTACATTGTAAGTTATTGTAATCTACAAGAAAAAAATTAACTTTTTCAAATTTTGCTATCAAAGAAAGGGATATAAGAAAATGAAATGATCAAAGATGAAATTGCTAAGGGAACAGAAGATGGTATTGCTGCTTGAATAGAATGAGGCAACTTATTTTGTTTACATTCACTTGTGTTTCAGGACACGTTTTGAGATACAGAGAATCCCACATTTTATAAGGTTCTATTAAACAATTTTCTTTCTCTTGTTTATTTTTTGTGTAGGATGACAAAGATCTCGTCCATGAGTTTGTTAGCTGTGATGGCCTGGACTGCCTCATCAAGCTCGGCTCAGAGGCTGACCAGAACTACCAAAATTACATCCTCAGAGGTAATTATATCACCATTTTCATCTTCATCTTCATCTTAGATATCATAATTATTTTCCTCATCATAATCGTTACCATCACTGTTTTCACTATGATCATCATTATCATAATCAACAGCTTCATGTTCATGATTATTATCATGATTATCATCATCATTGTCTTCATCATCATCACCACCATCATCATCACCACCATCATCATCATCATCATCATCATCACCACCATCATCATCATCATCCCCATCATCATCATCATCATCATCATCATCATCATCACCGTCATCATCACCATCATCATCATCACCATCATCATCATCATCATCACCATCACCATCATCATCATCGTCATCATCATCATCATCACCATCATCATCACCATCATCATCATTGTCATCATCATCATCATCACCGTCATCATCACCATCATCACTGTCATCACCACCACCACCATCATCGTCACCATCATAATCATCATAATCACAATCTTCTTCATCATCCTATTCATCATTGAATATCAGTTCCATTTTCATCAATAATATCATATCTGTCTTTGTCCGTCGTCATCAGCTTTATAATTTCTATTGTCATTTCCATGGTCATTGTATTCATGATATTTGTCACTACTCATAATTGTCCCAGCTTGTTCACTATGATCTCTCTCGTAGTATTCATATTCCATGGTGACAATGATGATGGTTATACAGATTCTCAACTCCAAGTGCTACATATATTCAGAGAACATAAAATTGATGACCTTTCATTTCTGAACCATGTCGTGTGTTGGATCATGACTACATGATACCGTCAAAATACATCCTGCTAGTCATACACCCTGCTAAGTCATACACCCCTATTCCCACAAGTTGTTACTGTTCCTCTATATGTGTTTCATATTAAATGATTTCACCAATAAAGTTCACTTTAGTTTAATTCATCATGTCCGTAAACACCATGCAGGCGTTTGATGACATGACTTGCCTTCATGCTATCACCAGATTCATTTAATTACCTTTACAAATATTTTCAATCTTATCTTTGCAGCTATTGGTCAGATCATGCTGTATTTGGATGGGATGAATGGCGTCATTGAACACAATGAGACGATACAATGGCTTTACTCATTGATAGATATACAGGTAAGAACAATTGCATAACGTGACATCTGCTCCGGCAACAAATGATTTTGTTGTCATTTTTATACACTAACCAAAAGAACTAGCTTACAAACTCTGTCCATTGATCCAACACTATACCTATCCCTAAACGTAACCCTAAATCCTGGACCCAACACTACAACTAAACCTAAGCTATTTTAATAACCCAATCACAATATCCTAGATTTTATGCTTCAAGTTTTGGAGCATTGGTGAGAAGGATCACATGTGTGTAGCCAGAATACATGATGCTCTGGCTGTGATTCTGTGGTTGATTGCTAAAACCATGGACCTACGAACCAAATTGCTAGCTCCAAGCCAGGACTCACCACAACACCTAAACCTAAGCTAAGATCCTATCACAACCCAAGCACCATATCCCGGGCTTGGCGCATCAAGTTTAAGAAGATAGTCTGCTTGGAGCCAGATATGATAAAGCTTAACGTCCTTCTGGCTCTTGGCAGATGCTATGAGAACAACCAAAGTCCTGGAGCCTACCAGGGTCATCAACACCCACACATGGTTTGGCTTCAACCACATATGCATTAGGCCTGGCTTCATCAGCTTGAGTTTGCCAAATATTCCGCTATTTTAACTATCCCGATCACAAATTAACCAGCTAATTTGCGCCCTCATCAGCTCGCAGTTGCAATTAGCGGTATATTTAGTCCAGAAAATTTCCCAAGAAATCTTGGTCTTGTTTCCAAAATATACCGCTATTTGGGAGATAGTGGGCTAATTTGCGTCTGTCTGAGCTAGTTTGTGATGAGCGTATCGGTCTGGTGAAGACACAATTTTGAGCTTTGGGATAATATCCAGAGTCTGAAAATAGTGGGTTATTTGGCAACTTCGAGAGGAAGAAGACAGGCCTATTGAGTCTGCACAAAGACCATGAATGATAGACATCACCCATCTCTCATTCATGTGTTTCTTTGAACCCCTTGGCCAAATTCTTTGATAGGAGCCAAGCGAGGGAGCATGACGACCCATGTGCGGCAGACTTGACCCCCAAAGCTCTCGTTTAGCCAACATGTTGTGAAGGAAGATCGGTGACCTAATCCCCCCTTTCCTATCTAATCCAATGAATCTATCAGCTAGCGCAGGAAGTCATTTATTTTCTGATCCTCCGGCGGCCAGACTCCTTCCTCCTTGAAGGAGAGCACGCCACCACCGGAGCACTGCCCCTAGAGCTCTGGTTTAATATAGAATGACTGGCTGGCTGAGATCAGGGATGTGAGTCGTCCCTGATGCCACAGTGACCATTCATATATTTCTTAGCGATAAAGAAAGAAATGTATAAACAAAGTGAAAGAAATGGACCTAGACCTAAACATACAGAAAGGGGAAATGAGAAATGCGTGCAGATAGATATTAATATTGCTAGAGACAGAGGGATGGAGGGAGGGAGGGAGGGAGGGAGGGAGCGTCTCTGGTGCCAGAGTGACCATTCGTATAGTCCTCAGTGATAGATGAAAGAAGTGTAAACAAAGTGAATGAAGGTAGATGGTGAAAGAAATGAAACCAGACGTAAACATGCGGAAAAGGGAAATGAGAAATGCGTGTAGATAGATATTAATATTGATAGAGATGGAGACACAGAGAGAGAGAGAGAGAGATAAAGAGAGACAGTCATATAATAGGAACAATAATATACATATAGACATATATAGACAAGTATGAGGGTACATAGACTAGGATCACATTCCTTGCAAAAACGTACACATAAACATGGGATGTAAAACAGAAAAGAAAGTTTAGTGATAATAATAATAATAATGATAATAATAACAATGCAGACATTTATAATGCACAATAACGAAAGTTGAGAAAGTAGAAAAGGAATATACACTTATATCAACATCAATTTGAAGTTTCCAAAGTCATTAAAAAATCTGATGTAAAAATATTGTATCTCGGAACACTTTTTTTCAATACCCAACATTTATTCTAATGGACCCTCAGGTCATACAAATGTGTTGATGATATAACAGCATTTATGATTGCAGTAATACAATGGGTTTGGTGACAGTTCAATTTAAGTTTATTTCTCTTACATGGCGTACAATCTAATCTAAGCATGTGAAGAGTATTCTTGTATAAGGACACGGATGAGACAAATTAATTAATTCAAATGACATATGCGTTGAGAGGCAGTTCAGAAATAGATCATGCAACAATTCGAAATGATTTCATGACTCTGCAATTCTCCCATTGTTGGACACTCTCCAAAAACAGGGGACATGGACCGGTCAATCCTCATGGTATTTTTAGTATACTTAAATAGAAACCTCTCAATTACTATGTTGCCAAGTTTTGTCACCCACTCTTTCTCCCTCCGTGCAATGTTCACCTAATTCTTTTCAGAACTAAAAGTTCAAAGTTATTCTATTTTGTTATTACATTTGCAGTTACCTATACTATAATTCTTTGGTTAATCTTTATTGAACCATTCATTAAACAATACAGTGGGTTTTTTCTTCAATATTTCAAATGGATGTCAATTCTTTATCTATCAAACATAGCTTTGATGGAATAATTATTTTAAAAATGAAAATAAATCTTCTCTTTTCTTTTGAAAGTCTTACATATTAGTGATATTTGTCATGCCCATCCCTCTCTAATCAAATCAAATATCTTGTACCAGAGAAGTAGAACTATGCCCGGTCAATATTTTTTGCTATACTGCCCAGCAGTCAGCGAATTTCATGCCTGCTGTTTGGACCATCAGAGGCCCAGAATCGTTATATGTTGTATATAATAGCTACTATTCTATAAGTTTTTTTAGAAAGTACAGCTGAATATGTCCGTATTTTGGGTGCATTTTAGTTCATCGGAAACCAAGACTGAATCTAAAGAGACACATTGTCTCCATTGGGTAATATATTTCCGGCAAACCTTAAATTTGTGGTTTATTTTCAAATAATCCTGGCCTGGATTCAGTTTCAAATCGTGTCCTAAATGTATGACGATGGTACAACATATTATGTTACAGTTAGTTTTGAATTGGATTTGTAAACTGAGCAGTGGAGATTTGAAAGGAAACAGAGAAATGAATCCTCTTTTCTAGCTTGTCCACTCACAAAAAAGGGGAAAGAACTTTGGGAAGTTGAAGAAAAGAGGGTCAACTTGTTAAATATAATCAGATTTCATTGAATATTTGGCTTATTTAGAGTAGTAGCTATTTCAAAGAATTGTAGCAGGAACCACAATTTATAAATAATTTTCTATTTAAAGAAGGAATGAAGAATTTGGAGAGTATCAAGTTTAGAAAGGAATGATTAGGAGTGAATAAAAACAAGTACATACTTGTATACCTGTAGCCTATAATCTAGGCGGAGTGCCGAGCTTTTTTCTTTGCTGCTAGACTAACCTTAAGCAGAACGTCTGATACGGCGAGACTACGAACCGTGAGCCGCGCACCGCCTATAACCACTGGTCTAGCTTTAGTCGTTGTTTTTTTATTATCGACCATGAATCCGTGGCAGTTTTTCGTACGAAAACTGCCACGGATTCAAGGTCGATAATAAAAAAACAACGACTAAAGCTAGACCAGTGGTTATAGGCGGTGAGCCGCTTCGCGACTCACGGTTCGTAGTCTCGCCGTATCAGACGTTCTGCTTAGGGTTAGTCTAGCAGCAAAGAAAAAAGCTCGGCACTCCGCCTAGATTATAGGCTAGTATACCTGTGATTTCCTATACAATTATCTGGTACTTTTGAGAAAAGTAATAGGTGGTTTATTTTTTAGCAAAGTTTCATATCCAAACAAAGTTTTGTTGGGTTTTTTGATTGACTGTCATCGGATGTGTTGAACCTGCCTCACCATAGTAATGACTTTGATATGAGAGGCACAAATTGTTACACAGTGGGTTGGCAACCTTAAATTGGCAATGACAGTTGAAAATTGAACAGTTGTTCTTACAGGGTAATGAGGAGCAGGGGAAGTATTTGATGTTGATTGACTGAAAGAAAGGTCTGTAGGGGTGGTAGACATTAACGAGAACATGGAATATGAACTGTATGTGCGTGTGTGTGTGAGAGTGTGAGAGAGAGGGAGATAGGGGAGAGAGGGGGAGAGAGAGAGAGAGGGAGGGGGAGGGGGAGAGAGAGAGAGAGGGAGGGGAGAGAGAGAGAGGGGGGAGGGGAGAGAGAGAGGGGGGAGGGAGAGAGAGAGGGGGGAGGGGGAGAGAGAGAGGGGGGAGAGAGAGGGGGGGGGGGGGGGGGGGGGGGGGAGAGAGAGAGAGAGAGAGAGAGAGAGAGGGGGTTTAACAATTTGATTTGATTTTTTTTTTGGGGGGGGGGGGAGGTGGGCTGAGAGTAATAAACATGGGAGCAATGCATTGCCAAACAGCCTGGACCAGATTAAAATGCTCTGGCACATGTAAATATGAAAGACAGCATGATTTCTGGTGTTTATCACATTTCGAATACTTGGTGCAGACTAGTTGATTGCTCTGGACTCGACCATGAAACCATGAAAATTAAAACAGTAAAGACTCATTCAGATATGATGCCATAAACCACCACAAAATAAATAGTTGTGGTTTTTTTAATGTGCAAATGAATAGCAACTGTTTCGAACAAAAGTACTATGTGTATTCACTTAATTAGCTCTGTGTTATGCGATCCATATAATGTGAGGCATATTACACTAACCTCAGGGGGGTGTTTCACAAAGATCCTAAGTTGAACTTATCTCTAAGTTGGACTTAAAAAATATGGAAAGCCATTAGCATCTTTGAAAATATTTTGTAAAAGTTATTTTGAAAGGCATTCATTGTTTATTGAAATCATTCATATTTGCTATCATCAAGGAGATTTCACGTTCTGGATGTGGAATTAATAAAAAGTCTAAAATACTTGAATTTCTGCTTTTGAATATATTTCATTTAAAGACTCCAATGGCTGTCCATAATTTTTAAGTCCAACTTAGAGTTAAGTTCTACTTAGGATCTTTGTGAAACACCCCCCAGTACTTTTTTTAAATGCCAAGGTTGCCCACTTCATAACTCAATGAGGCTGAGGAGCAGGTTTTGGTTTGATCTAGAGCTACACGTACACGTATGACACTTTTTCAATGCAGTACATTTGCTTGTCCCTTTTCGTTGTTGCTAGTTTTATGACTAAGACGATCTTCAAAAGTTTGGTGGATCAATTCTCAGATTCTTGTACCTCCCAACGATCACCTCTCTAGTACCCCATCGGCACCCTGAAGTAGCTCTTGAACACAACCTGTCGTCTACCATCACTTGAGAAGTATTAGTAATGTGTTTTTTTGTGGTTTGGGAATCAAGTTTCCTGATCATGCTTTGATTCATGATCTAAATACTGTTCTTCCGGTCCGCTCATGATTTCGCCTGTCTTCGGAACGTTGTCATCGATTCTTGAAGGCTCACATAAGTTTTATTTAAAGCAGGACTGCACTATCTCTACTTGCGCCTCTATATAGCAAACAATGCGTAAGCGGTACCCGTTGGTCCCCCCATGATCCTCTTTTTCTTATGTTAATTGAGAGCTGATTTGATGAGATAACCACCTGTAAGTGACCACTCAGGGAGCCCTCCTGGCCAAAATGTGCAGAATTGTCTTGCATAAGTGTACAATGTAGGGGAAAATCCATATGAAAGAATACAAGGAGTTTACGGTCAAAATCAGAAGTGTTGATTAGTTTACAAATGAAGCATGGAATTTCAGTTGATTTATTTGAGAATATGGATAAATGTTGAAGGTATATTGGCTGAACTGGTCTTTTTGGAAGTGGCAGTCTATCAATTAAATTAAGTTTAAATAGATGATTGAATAATTCAATAAAAAAATAGTGTTTGTGAATATGCATATATTTCATGTCTCTCTCATATGTAGGCCTATACCTGATAGAAATTTGTACTGAGGGAAGTTAGGGAGTATGAGTTACCAATTGGCTTGATTGAGGATATAATGAATTAGTTCAGTGAAATTGAGTTTTATGTTAGCCTCACCATGTCTCCATATATCTGCCAAGTCACACACAAGATAGACGCTTTAAAGGGGCGGGAGGAGGGGGTGAATGGGTGAGACTCCATCATAACAAGTTTACTATATGCTGGCAAATGCTACGCTTATGAAGATAAAATATGTCTTCACATAGTTTATTCTGAAGGAAGTTTGTCCTCTTGAGGTTTATGAAGTCCAGACAAGACCATCCATTGATGAATGAAGTCTGACTCCTCTCAGTGATATCTGAAAAACAAAACCACTCAACTCGTCGAAAGGGAAAGCCAGATGGCTGTAGTCCCATGTGTAGAGTTTGAAGTTACGACTTCACCTTTAAATACAGTCTGTGTCATGCTTGGTCTAGTTTTCTGCAATTTGCTGTCATTTATTTGGGGTACAGTATATTAGTCCTCCCCTTCACCTTGACAGATTAAATTTAATTAGAAACATATTTTCATTGATACACAGTAATGGCATGAATGTGCTATGAATATGGATGACACATTTGTCAGTTGTGATGGCATCATCTCATTTAATGTCAATCTGATGTAAAATACTCTGTATTATGCAGTGATGTGTAATCAGAGCTCAAATCAACCTTGCCTGCAATTACCAGGCCTCTGGTTTTGTCATAGGAACAATATCGAAATCCTTTCTGAGTATTAAAAATGGAACCTGCTCGTAAACTCGACACACTTGTTTCCTAAAAATACCGACATGAACTTTCCTGGGAGAGAGCAAAGCTTTGCTGTGAATCGTGGGTAATTCGTACTGACAGACTACGCTGAGTCAAAGTTCTAAGGAGTTCCCCATCCTCTTTGGTCGCCGGGGACAACTCAAGTTTAGAGACGGCCTCCCCCATGCTTTTATTGCCCCAGACCAGCACTTCCTGTTGCAAAACGTGAATCAATTTTTCACTCCATAAATTTGTGTTTTTTTTTTTTTACTGAATATCAACATCAAGAATTGTTTTGGTATAAAGTTTGAGAATATGATTTTTCTTCATTTTGCTTTTTCTTCATTTTGCTTTTATAATCAGAAGCCAGTAATAGTGAATGAATAATATTACTCATTAGAGAACATATCTCACTATGTCTAAGAATGAATTCAGTGCTTCATATTCACTTTTGATAGCAATAGTTCAAAGAGTAAAAGGGGAAAATGGAAGAAAGGGGAAGGGGGTGGAGGAGAGAAGGTTGAGGGTATAACATATTAGATATGAAGAGAATGATTTCAGGAAAAGAGGCATCAATATACTTCATTCCTACATTCTTAGACCAGATATAATACAATTGCAACTACATGTACTTTTAGAAAATCAACTCAAGGGTGATACCCTATTGTACATGTATATCCCATATAAAATTCATGTTCAGATTGAGTAATATATCATTGTGACGTTTGCACATTTCAAAAGGTTTCCTAAGGCTATTGAAATTACCTTAAGTTGATTTTTCAAAAGGAGTTGTGATGGTGTTATGTATACCTTGTTCATATTGAATACAAGTAACCACTCCAATTTATAAAGAGCGATGTGTCAAATGCCACTACATGTTTAATAATCTAGTAACCATTTCATAACTTTTTTCTCCAACTTTTGACAGCATCGTCTTGTGACCAAGTCATCTCTCAAGCTCCTCCTGGTGTTTGTGGAGTACACAGAAACCAACTCCCAGCTTCTACTACAGGCCACAAAGGAGGTCGATGGCAAGAATCGTAAGTCCACATTCTGATCAAGATCTTTACACTTTCATGAATTCAAAAAGAAAAATCCACTGCTTGAAATTAATTATTAGAGGATACCAAAATCAGCCCTTAGCAGCATCATGGCTAGCAAGATACCTGAATGAAACAAACAAATGATGAAAAATTTCTCCATGGAGTAAATTAGAAAGATATTTATAGCAAGTTTGACATTGTATTTCTAATGTCTGTTTATGAAATGCAATTCCAACTCAAATTAAAACAGAAGAAGATTATTTCTCTGTAAAGTAATGCTGAACATCAATTGTTGGGGAAAAAATTAATTGAAAAACTGCCACCAATGTTAAAATAATCGTGTATAAGCAGCAACATACAGATGTTCAATAAAATAGAGTACCCATATCTGACAGGCAACACTCTTCTCATTCATCAAATCTAGCAGATGTGGCTTATTGCAAAAACTATTATCTAGATGACTCCCTTGGTAGTAATAAGAATGGGGAAATGACAGGTTCGATGCCAGATCTGAGCAGCTTCCTAAACATTTGAAATCCGCAGTGTAAGCAGGATCTGGTTTGCTTGGAAAGCATCACCAAAATGTGGCTCTAAACTTGAATTTTATGGAATAATGGTGATTTGCTAGTGAACTGTTGTAGTGAACTGTTCAATTTAACTTGCTACATAATAGCAACTTGCTTGTTGCTATGCAAGGCATTGCAGTGGTTTTCAAGAACTTTGATAGATATCAAGATAATTAGCATAAACCCTCAGAAATCTCAGTGAAATTCAGTCAACTCAGAGGTTTTCTTGTATATTACCATTACCGTTTGCGTGTTCATGACATTATTGTGATGAGTTGTAGGAGACACCCACCTGTTCTAAGAGACATACACCTGTTGGGTTCATTCGACAGGAAAGTTTAAGTTTAAGTTGTGGTTTTTTATAACTTCAAAATTATCTTGTAGTTAGGAACTGCCCTGACACACTCGAGGTTATGAAACTTTAAATTTACTCAAAGTTATAAACTACAAGCGATCTAAAGGTTATCGTGATAACTACGAGCAACGGATGTCCTCACTCGAAGTTATGGTCGTGTAAACGCAATAAACGTTTAATTTACATCAGCTTATAATGAGAATGATTGCTCACAGTCATGATTGCTTGTAGTTAAAACTTTGAATATTCATTCTTTTGGTCTCATGTGAACCCTTCTAGTTGTTGTTGGATCAGGGTCAGAACTTTGAAGGTTTCGTGTAAACATAGCTAGTATATCTAACAACCTGTTAAACCTATGATGACCCTACAAGTCTGCGGTCGTTTGGGAGATTGTAGTCTCCTCCATTTTTATGCTTTCTCATCATCTAGAACATGTCTCACATCTATGATTCAGATCAAATTGAATTGATTACATCTGTTCAAGTCCAATATATTCATGATAACAGAAGGAACATGTACATAATGTCTTCAACTAAGGCTTTCTCTGTATACATTGTGACTAATCATGGCATGTCTGTTTACAGTGTTTAAAGAGAAGGTTGAGTTCTGGGAAGAGGTGAAAAATAATTTGTGAGCATTACTCATTCTTATTATGCAAGTGTGGAAGAACATCAGTTAAGACATGTTCCCTGAAAAGCATGGCTCTTCAAATGCCTTCATATTCTAAATATGCATGTAACATCGTAAAAATCGGGGGGGGGGGGGGGGCGGCTTTTTACGCCATGTGTTCATGTAGTTCCATATACATCTTTCTGTGCAAGTGTTTGTAACTTTACCAAGACTTGGCCAAATTTCTTAACATTTTGATGATTCCAGAACCTTGCAATACACACAAATTCTTATATGCTAGATGATGAACCTTTTCTGGTCGGTTCCACCCCATTTCTTTCACAATGCAATCGCATGACCAGAACTCAACTTCATCTTTAACATAGCGTTTAATAAATCAACGATGTCTCTAAGTGCTTTACGGATCTATTATTACCCCGGTAATCAAATTCAGGCTTGCCCACAAACAATGTATACCCATTCTCCACTCCCTTGGGAGCATTCCAGCCAGGCTTCCTTTTGCAGACTTTTTACAATGCTGAGAAAATTACATTAACTTTCGCATCCTACCAGGTACCCCTTTAACACCTGGGTGGAGAGTGGCAAAAGTAGATTAATGTCTTGCCAAAAAATATGAGTACTGGACTAGGATTTGAACCCCTTACCTTGTGATCTGCAGACAGGTGACTTATCCACTAGACCACAACACCTCTAGGATTTATCACAGAGCATGGAGTGATGTGTAATAATATTATTTTCTCTTGTTTGCAGATAACAAGACATGGCATAATGTAATGGAGATCATGAAAGATGACGGGCAGGATGCGGAAATCATGACCTATGTCATGACCCTCTTCAACAAGGTCAGTCTATCAATATTCACTCTCTAGCGCCCTTTTCATTTTTTCATATTTTGGGTACACATTATTGATTGATGTGGGTAACCTTTGGGACAACAGTCGCCCATTGGTCCAGTGGCTTATCCATGGGAGGTGCAAGAGGGGCACACTTCTGTATTTTTGGTGGCCAAGTTCCTTACTTTGGATGTACAGAATATTTTGTGCAGCAATGGCACACGTACCCTCCATTCATCATTTCAAATCAGATATCTTACATAAGGTATTAAAGAATGAGGAATTAAATTGATGGTGTAAAATTTAGGGAGATATACTTTGTCATTATAAAGACTTGGGGGTCATGAATACTTGTAACATTCATTCACCTTTATAGAGTTTCTCTACTATTTATGATGATTAATTGTATTTGTACGTGCATATTACATAATGTGTGAATATCTTTGTCCTCATTAAGGTCTAAAATCATACTGAAGTATTCAAATGGACAGAAGTGACCTCTTTTATTTGATACCCAAATAAAAAGTCCTTATTGAATTCACTAATCTCAACAACCTTTTACAAAGGATGAATCCATAATACACAATCAATGCCCTATGTTTGCTTTGTGTCTGTATAGGAGTAGATTCTTGATGTGTCACGTGACCACAGGATAATGGTATAAATGTTGTAAAGGGACACAAATCCTTATAAATTCCATTCTTCCCAGCTTTCGTGTATTTCCATACTTCCAAAAGATGACTACAATTACATAGTAGATGTCTCTATAACTTTGCTCCCTTTAAATGGTAGATTCTTAGTGTGTGAAAAATGTTTTGAGATCATAATTACCCTTTATTTACTGAGAATCAAAACCTTAGTCTGCTTTACACATGTAAACTGTATGTGTGACAAAAGACAACTGTAACAATCCATTGTTAGTTCCATTAGTTGACTAAGACCGTTAAAGAGTTAGTAACATTTCTCAAGAACGACTCATTCTGAGGAATTATCACCGTTGATTGCACTCAGACCTAGTCCCTGCAAACTATCTCATGAAATACATCTTTCGTTCTAGAACATTCCTGCAGTGGCGTATGTCAGATGACACTGCCACAATGAGCTTGTCAGGTTGAAACGAGAGACCCAGCAGGTCGCCATTTTGAAACTCGGTCTTTAGTAACACCTGACTGGGATAGTGATAGATAAACTGAGTAATAGTAGCTTCTAGAGATTTCTGTCTCTCTCATGCTTCACAGAGTTTGAAAAGCCGAGCCCTGGATCTAATGTCAACAGCACATTTTCTGCTTGTATGCTTCCATTATATCATGGATGACAGCGTGTTGGAATTTCTTCTTTATAATCATGAGCTCTTTTGAATGTTATGTGGAAAAATATGTTACATTAAACATGTTTAGGGGAGAGGCTGTTTTAGGGTTGATGAAACCTTTTTTTTCTTCTCCTTTTTTTCCCTGAGTTGTAGAGTTTGGTAGAATTTTAAAAACATTCCATTGATAATCTAATTTTTTTATTTTTTGATATGAAATTCTTACATTTATAAAAGTTATTTTGGGGTATTCTGAGTTAAAATTTTCAAGGGCTAATAGTTCCCCGCTTTGATGTTTATTTTTGATCAGATACCGTACAACAATAGAACATGGAAACTTTTCTTGAAATCAAGATACTCGAAGCGACTTTTACCTCTCTCAATTTTAAGTCACTTAAATAGAAGTAAGCAGAGTTTGATATTCCTTTAAAACAAGATGGGACAGTATTTAATTTCAAGTAATTTAATTCAAGATTCTTTCTTGTGCACTGGGGTAATGACTTCATATCTCATGATGATGTACGGTAGAAGTATTTTATCAAACACTTTCAGTCAAAATGCCTGAAAAATCAAAGTTTTACTAGCTGTTTTTTAAAAGGTGTGTTTAGGGGGAAGGGGTTAGGGTAAAAAGGGCAAGGGAGGGGTTAGGTCAAAGTGGGAGCAATAGAGCAGGGGGGGGGGGAACTATAGCCCGTATCACTCTCTATTGTGGTTACCACCAATGGTTGTATAGGATATAAATCACGGAATACCAAATAATATTGAATGCTGAACAGGTCTCACTACCAGTGTGTTGTACCATGAAGCATGCAAGGTATTTCAGACCATCGTGTCAAGGTTTCCATAAATGACTTCATCGCTACATAGCAGATTCATGAAAATTAACCCTAAAATGACATAAAAGAACAATTCAAAAATACAACACTGATAAATCCTTGTTGCTGAATAGGGGTGGATGTAGGATGAAGAATTGGAAGATTTGTAATGGTGGATAGAAGTGTAGAGACATCACTTGGAAGTTGGAACAGCTAAAATAGACAGTAGCAAATATTTGTGACGCTGTCTTGGATCTCCTCCCCCTTCTCCCAAAATGTCAGGGTGGCATTTAAATAGGGTTGATGTACACCGGAATGGAATGCTGATTGGGGGGTGCTAGTGAGGGCTGGAAGGGGGCTGGTACTATGCTGGACCCCCACCTCGTTATCTAAGAGTTCATTAATTTAGGCGTTTTATTCTTATCATTCGTTGAAATTTTGTCTTGAATTGACGTTTTCGACATGTGTGTGAAAGATAATATTTTAGCCCTCTGGATGTCTTTCTAAGTTACATATCCTGATCCCATTGCTCATCTTCAGTACCAAAATGTTAAATAGTTCTATTTTTTTTTTTACTTGAACAAAATGTATCATTTGAAAAATTCAAGGTGGTAAACAAAATCAGTATCTGTTTGGTTAATGTGATTGCTACATGTTTGTGATTGCTTTGGTATGCACATCCGTGTACTATCAAGATAAGCAGGATGGTGTTAGAACTTTCATGTTGTGTGCATGCAGAAATACCATAGGTGCTTCCATCTGATCTGACATGAACACACAACAACCATGCTGTGCAACTCCACTTAAAAATCTAGGTCAAACAAAGAGAGAAAGGCACGAGAATAAACCTACAAGACTTTTTTAGAATGATATGAAGATTTATATTGGTCAGAAACTCATATGAAACCAAGGTTTAATAGCTTCATTAAATAACATCTACTCTAGGACTGTTCATTAAACAAGAAGGAGAAGAAAATATACAATTTTTTCTCTTAATTTTTTTTGGGGCTGGCAACATTTGCATATTTCATAACATTCATCTCCTCTTCTGTTCTTCCCTTCTCTCATATATACTGTACTCCTCCTCTTCTCTTATCCGCCCTCCCTCTCCTCTCATTCCTCCTCCCTCTTATCCCAATCTCATTACCTCTTTTTATCTTATCTTCATCTTCACCTCTGCTACCAATGTCAGTGGATGTATGCATCCCCCATCTCAACCTCCTTTTCCCCTTCCAGCTTCAAGCCCTTACCTTCCCTCTCCCCTCCCCCTTCCACCCTCCTCCCTCCCATCTCCATCTCATTATCTCATTATCTCTATTATCTTATCTTCATCCTTACCTCTGCTATCACTACCAGTAGAGGTATGCACTCCTCCATCTCAAACTTCTTCCATCACCCAGCCCCATCCTACCCCTCTCACCCCTCTCACCCCCTCCCATTTCCTTCCTCATCACCTCCCATTCCTCCTCCCACTGTCTCCATCTCATTATCTCTCCCATCTTATCTTCCTCCTCACCTCTGCTACCACTACCAGTGGAGGTATGCTATCCCTTGCATGGTCTTGACTCACATGTTATGCGTGATTCATCTCAATGCTATTCCGTTCCAACTCTTGGTAAAGTCAGAGCCCTATTATGATGCACTCTGTTTTAGAAGAATAAAGTGGAGGAGAATTCCAAATCAAACCCCCTGATCTTTTTCAGGTTGCATGAATATTTCAAATCTATCTGGTTTTATTTATGTAATGGAACAATGTTACCAAGGATCTAATCCATATTTATTATTATGAGATTTAAATTTAAATGTGCAAGAATCCACAAAATTCAAATTATACTTGGATGGAAAAAACACCTTAACATACCTGTAAAAACTACAAAAATAGGTTGTTGTGGATTTAATCTTAAAGTATTCAAACTTTGGTATTACCATAAGAGACAGGTTCATGGACGAACATCTCTCCATCATCTTCCAACTTGTACAGCTGAGTTGAGGTCTACCATCTTTAGTTTGACGGTGCAAATTATCATCTTACAAATGATGCTCATATGTTTTACTAATCTAGTGTAAGGATTGCTCTGCTTTTAAGATTGAATAGTTTAGGGTCTGTTCTAGGAGACAAGTTAGGTGAAGAAAGATGACTAGAACACAATCAGGTGTAGCTTGTTAGGGCGTAGATAACGAGTTCGTCCATTAAATAACATTCATGCGGCGCTGTGGAATGTCGATGAACCGAATGTTCTGCGAGGTTACAACATTCAAATGACAAGATTCAGATTACAGAGTAATGTGCTCTCCCAAAATAGACGAATGATCAGCCATGTTGTCTCCTGATCATGTTTGGTTTTTCCTCTGTTCTGCACATTTCTCAATTGATGATCCATATTTTATAATTTCTTTTTGTAGAATATGTATACCCAGTTGATTGAAGACATTTGTTAAGCCGTTGTCAACTGAATTCTTTTATTTCCAAAGGCTCCATACAGGGGCAATCCGGTTCCTTCAGGCAATTGGTTATTATTATCATGCAAAAGCTTTCTCTCTCTTTTATCAGAATAAAAAAATTGTTTTCACACATATACCAGATACATTGTCCAATTCTGGACTCATGGCAAGTCATATGATTCTTACATCATATTGATATCAATTAAATACATAATGATAAAATACATAGACAATATATGTTATTATCTTAGATGAAGTTTATATAGGATATGTGTTAATACAAAAAAGGAATACTGGTACTGTGCTTGAGGGGTATTTGTTTAGCATCGTTGAGTAAGATATAAGCAGGTCATCAGTTAGGGAAGTAGGTCGGTCATGACAATGAGTTATCACCGATCCAATCATCTTCTTTAAGGACACCAGTCATCCTCCAAGAAATAAGATTTGTATGCTTGCAGTTAAATTGAACCCCCAAAACTCTTGTTGGCGATTACATGGATAAGCGATCAAAGAGTATGAAATAAAAATGATGTTATTGAGTAGTTCATGTATAATACAAACTTGGTCTTAGTTTCTAAACCTTAGAATACCTTTCCAATTATCATAGATGAGATACACCATGAACCTAGGCTCTATTTCATAAAACTTGGTATCTGTATTTAAACAAGTTGCAACAACTGTTATAAGCTACTGAAATTGTTGCATCCAAAAGACCGGTTTACTAACGTCTCCAAATGTATGGATGTTTTTTTCCTGGGGACCTAGTGGTGAGCTATTCCATTAACCTGTTATTGACAAATGGACTACGATATTACTCGGTGCTATGTTGGGCAAGCTTGGCAAGCTTTCAGGTTGTCAAAAAAACTTTTGTTAAAAAAGTATGTGTAAAATTTGAATATGTTAGTAAGCTGGTTAATATAATATCATTGATGAGATGGCTAGTAACAGGTGTAAATATGTACTCTGGTATGTTGTGATGTCATTACATACCGATGAATCATCTCTCACGCATGTCATTATCTAACTCGGTCTAAGTATACATGCAACCAGTTAGTTACCTGTAGGTGACTGTATTTACTTACTGATACACAAGGAGTACAGTCGGTAGAACAGGTGCATGACCTTGCCTCTCAAGAAGCTAGTAATGTAATAGTTAATGTGATGATACTTAACGTAATATTGATGGCAAGGAAAAAAAGAATGTACAGGAAGATTTAAGTATTGTATATTATCATTATTAAGAAAGAAACTAAAATGTAATATATTTAATTTTATGATAAACCTATGCTTGTTGATCTATTCAATTTCTTGAAAACCTTTTACTTTTTATACACTATACACAATGACGCAAAGTCAGAAAAGGGATGAAATTAGGTAGGAAAAAGTTGATCCTTTAAATAACAGCTATTTTACATTTATATTTAAAGTAGACCTATGAAGGGAATCATCTTGTATAAAATGGATGGTATAGGGGAAAAAAAGATTTTGTCCTTGGGTGAATAAGATTTTGCTACTGAAGGGTGATCTGAATCAATAATGTTACAATATTTGTGTACCAGTTGTCCTATAACAAACTGAAGTTAGATGTTGTAAGTTCACTCACATGAATACTTGTAGTGTACTTGTAGATTTCCACATATATGCCATTCACACAATTTTGGCGTGGTGGTGCTGTACACAAAAAAAAATTGAATCATTGTGTACTCTAAAGGGGTGTGTTTTCCACAATGCATTACTTCTCAAACATACCAATGTTGACAGGATTCTTTCCAAAGAAAAAAAGAAAAGAAATATGTCATCTGATCTTATCCATTTTATTCCTTATAATTCCATGAGAGATCTGGAATTTGAGATTTAGATCATGAGCATATATCAATCGGCACACTATCAGATTTTTAGCTACTTTATGGTTTACTTTATTCTGATACTCTCTGCAAAGTGTTTAGGAGTGTGAGATATTGAATGATTTGTGGTATAAGTCAGGCCCTGTCAGGGTGATACAAAACATGTGTCAGTTTTTGTTAAATATGTATTCAGACTTTGTACAAATACTGGACTGTGCCATTCAGATGTACAGTAATAGATGGCCTGCCACTACTCAAATCATAGACGTAATATGCTCAAATATTGTTGTAGGTTTGATAATCACAATTAACTTTTTTTTGCTGAAGATGTATAGTGAAATTGAAGGTCAGAAATTAAAGACGGAGATTATGAAGGATTGGAATTGCAAAATGTTATGCAGTATAAGATTTATGTACTATTAATTTTAATTATGACAGGTAAAAATTAAACTCTTTCTTCCTCCCTCAAAATAAAAGTAAAAGACAATTATGGTTCATTGTCCTTATGCCATATATCTCCAAAGATATTTCCTTTCATTTTTATGAACATATCTATCCCTAATTTGATGTTATTAAAAATTGTTTCTTGAACAGTGAAAGTTACTAGAAAGCTCTGATTTTCCCTTATATTTCATACATTCCTACACTATGACCTTGGTATACACTCAATATTATTAGTACCCTAAAACGATTACTAGTTATGGAGTATATCTCAAGTTCAAGAGCAACTCACACACAGACAACCTGTTAATCAGGTGACATTGCAAATACCTTAGATTGTTCAAATTGTCAATTTCCAGTTTGCTTTGAAGACAGACTGAAGCAATGTGGATGTGGGGTATTAGGCAGTAGTCTTTAGAACAGACTTCAATGTAAAAAATCAAACAAATAATACTGTGTCTTGCGTCAAGCCTACACCAGCTTCACAATAGTTATGTACAATTCAGTTGAGAGGCTATATACAGAGCAGGGTTTATGTCAGGTACAGTGTAGTCTACAGCCAGGGAAGTTCAGACTCCATGCTTTATGTTGTAAATAATAAGAATATGTGCATGCAAAGTTGCAAACTAATTAAAAAGCAGGAATGCACCTATGGTTTTAATTGAGCATTAGCTTGAAAAAAGAGCTTAATTTGGCACGTGTCTCGACAGGACGGAGTTGCTATGATGCTGTTCATTTCCTCTCACTTAGGAGGGGGTTTCCCCCCTTCTCACCGCTGGTAGACTATTTATGAGGGGCTGTTTTTATGTCTCGCTGCGTCTTCCATTGTATACGCTTGGGCTGGAGCCATTATGAAAGTCAAAGTTCTTTTGATGGTTTTTGCTATTCATTAAAAGAAAATGAAAGCTTTATAATTCTCCATGGAATACATGTGGCTTTTTTGGCTTGAAATAGATGACAGATGATGGAGATAAATAATTGTCAATTATTTTTTTAGTCGCAAAGGGAATAAAGAGTCATACAACTTCTCCTTTTCTTACAGATATCATACTTATTATTTATGAATACTATGTTGTGGTTAACTGTGTGATATTTGCCGCTTAACAATAGAGGAGTTGATAAATTCTTTCTATTATCATTTATTCATTCTAAATAAATGATTAATCGCACCATGTCTCCATGTACATATTTATTATCACTACATTTTATAATTGGATATTCAAATTGAATTGAAGCTCTCAAACTAATTGCCCAAATTGTAAGATAGGATTGATATGTTTAAAAGTTTGGCACCAAGTTCAATTGAGGATATATCTCTCCATGTAAATTTTCCACCACCATACTTATCCATCTGAATAACTTATTTGTGAATTTTGACTTATAAGATATCATCTGTCGAGCTGCAAGGGCACTATCTCTAAGTAAAAGGGTACGAATTATCTATCGCCTTTCTTGCTTGGAACAGACAATATAGTCTATCAAAGCTAGTTTCCAAACATAACTCTCAATTGATGAGCTCTGTTTAATAGAGAAAGTATAATGGACAATGAATACATGCGAATAATTAATCAAGCATTAACAAAAATAAAAAATTATCTTCTCTTTTCAGACTCTGAATGCGATCCCAGACCAGGACTCTTTCTATGACATCACTGATTCCTTAGAGGTCCAGGGTATGGAGAAGGTCACACAGAGGCTGACAGGTCGGTCCGGAACAGATCTAGACCTCATGGAACAGATACGCATCTATGAGGTAAGGCCAGGCCGTAAGAGCTGAAACACTTTGACTCTTAGTGGGTTGTATGGCTTAAGTTTTAAGCGAATAGGTAATAAACATAAAGGTGTATAAGTTGGATGAACATCATCAACATCTTCAACATAAGTGGTGGGTTTAGGGATGCAACCAGTGTGCCCCTGCCCCCTTTAATACCAAAGTTCCCCCCCCCCTAATATTAAGATTTTCCCTCCTTTTACAAAAATCCTGGGTTTTTCCTGACCCAACTCTATTGTCATTATCATCAGTGGCATTTCTTATTTTCATCTGGTATCCATTATCTACATCTAAATTGCTGTTATCTTTATGAACTTCTCCGTCGTCCCTTACATCTTGCTTCATATACCTTCTTTCATCTCTATATAACTCCTTATTGACAGAACCATGTCTCCCATTTCTTTCATATTCTTAACCTACCTGCCCACGTTCTTTGCCCCATCCGATTTTCAGAAATACCCTTCTGGCATCCATCCCATTACCGATATATCTTCTAATTTTCACCTTTATATTATTTTCACATCCCTAATATGGGTAACTGGGCCGACGATTCATACCGCTGACGAAAAGCAGAACATATTGGGATGTTGAATGACTAATGGAATCCAGTTCATTGGCAGTTTGATTTCTTGTCCGTCTATGATTGGTAGTCCGTCTCGTGGGAAGCCAGTGAGGATGGCTTAATTAGAGGAAATGTTGAGACAGAGGTTTCCAAAAACAAGATGCAAGAGATGTTCAGAGGCTTTTGTTTTTAGGATGTGATAAGGAATGTTGCATATACAGCTTCCCATAGACAAAGGTAAAGGCAGTCAATCTCCGTCCATGTTCCCTGCTTTCTTGTACCAGTGATGTGATTGCAAAAGCAGAAAAAGCTGAAGATTTACACCCATTTCTGTTCACTTCAAACGTATTAGATCGGTGTTGAACAATTGTACATAAATTTAGAGATAGATCTTAGAAACAATGGTATACTTTTCGTTCCGAGAATTGGCCTTCTGACAGCTCCGCAAGAGTTGCGTTTTGTCGACACAAGTCATGAGCGAGAAATATTGCCTGGTTAGGAGCCAGAAGGATGCTACCTAATAGCACTAGTTATACATGTAGAGTGAACATGCTTTATGGATCTCAATAGATGATAATATTGTGTCTTTGGAGGTAAAAGGGTGTTAACTATGTGTTACAGTACAGGATCTAAAGCCCTTCTGGCACTAAACAGACAATGTACTTTAACAGAGATAAGACTCTGGAGACTGTCAAGAATTTTTCCAGTAAACTTGATACCCTGTCATAGCTAATTGAAAAAATAATGATAGCTTAACTCGAAAGAACTTTGACATAGGGTTCAATCAGACAAGAAGCGATGTCGGTAGACAAGGTGCAAACAGCTCAAATCGCAGCATATCGTCTGTTTGGAACCTGAAGGGCTTTAACTCATATACTTTAACACAGAGTTGATACCCTTCTGGCTCTAACCGGATGATAGGTTAGAAATCAAGAGCTAGAGCCTTGATGATGGCAGCTTGCGATAACCTCCCTGTGATGCCTACCCAATGAATGTCAGTAAGAAGTTTATCAGCGATATGATGGACATCCTAACAGGCTTCGAGTTACCTGCATACCAGGGGCGCAACCTGGTTTATGATGGGGTGCTGAAATAGACCTCAAGATTATCATCAATCCATCTTGGATATTATGGTCACAACAAACCATAGTCGATTCTGTATCTTCCAGAAGATTGATTTATGGAAGACTATCCTAGAAGATTTGCGTAATGTTCGATTATCATATCTTTTTGAAAATACAATACAGAATGAAAACCCTGTCACTTTGGCAGAAAGACCTACAAAGCTAGCTAGTCAATCAAAGATGGCGATAAATTTAGAAATTGGTTTAACAAGTATTTGAAGTTGCAGTTCATACACAATTTGAAGAATATGTTGTCTGGCTCCAATGTGTAATACAAGGAACTTCTTGGACATTTCGAAATAGAAAGACAGGAACATAGATTAAGAGATACCAAGATCATACAAGTGTAGTTAACAAAAACTGACCAGTTGTAGCTTGAGATAATCAAACATGAGTTCTTAACATTAGTCATGCTTTTTATCAGTCCAGAGACACGTTTAGTAATCTCTGCTCAGTCTGTCGGGCTGTTGTCCTAATTGCAATATTTAATGTCCCTCTCATATCCACGGTTTCGTCATTTATTATTCCTCCACCTTTCACCCTCATCACCGCTCTTCTAAACTCATCCCAGGGGAGCATGGATGTTGATTGTAATGTTAGCCTGTATGTGCACCCCCATTTAATTGGGTCTTCCCCCATGAGGGTTGGTAGCTGGTGACAGGAGAGCCCCTCTTAACCTACAGAACATAGGTCCATGATAGGAGCAAGTTTTGTTTTAAGTAGGGAGAGGGTTAAGTTGTCCTGATATTATTGTTTGTAAGTTCCTTCCTAAATGAGCCAGAATGTTAGTGGATATCTTGCTGTCCAGTCTAAGCTGATGTGGAGATGAGGTCAAGGAGTTTAATGACCTCCAAAAGTCGTTTGTGAAGCTGGAGGTGAGAGAAAATTATTCGCACCCCCCTACCTCGCCCCTCGATCTCCATCTCCCTGTGTCTCTCTCCCTTTCTTACTTCTCCCTACCTCTCTTTCTCTCCCTCTCTCTCTCTCTCCCCTTCTCTCTCCCCTTCTCTCTCCCATGTCCTTGTAGCCCTTCTGAATTATCATTCTCTGTTTTTGTTTCTGTACATATCCAATCATTAAAAGCAAAACAAAAACAAATAAACAAGCAAACAAATAAACAGCACACTAACAAGCAATACAATCTTATTGTGATCATAACATGCGTGAAATTTCCTACAAGGAACATTAAAGGACAGTGCAACATACATCATGAAAACACGTTTTGAAATATAATTTATTATTCTCTAAATTTCATTTGAGTTATCTCTTATTTACTGACTAAATTCAGTTAGTTTCTGTCGTGGGACTTTGGGTTTGGGGTCAGGTCAGCCAAGACAGATGTTGTGTCAAGTTGCATCAGGGATGGGTGTAGATTTCATTTCATAATTCCCCAGAACAACTTTTACATTGGTTGTGATAGAAGGGAACAATTCTGCTTCATACCATTCCTTGACGTAAATACAAATCAAACAGGTCTATACATTCTTGTCCGTTCTCCATGATGTTTGAGGCGAAATCTAAAAGGTCTTAAAGCCCCACTGCACTACTTATAGCTACTTGCGCCCTCTATATAGAAAACAGTGCTTAATTGGTGCTTGTTGGTCCCCCATGATCCCCTTTTTCTCATGTTAATTGAGAGCTGATTTGATGAGATAACCACCTATCAGTGACCTTGCAGGGAGGTCTAATCCTCCTAGGCTAAACTAGTGCAGACAGGATTTAAATGTTAGAAGAAGCCTTTTTATGATAGAACATGACATTTATTAATATATCACTGTAAATATCAATTTCTTGAAACAAATCAAAAGCCATTTATTTCCTTTTATCTGTTAAGTAGAGCAGAGCAGATAAATCTGATGGCGAAAGGAAATGGCAGTATATCAACTTACCTAAGTGTATTTGATTCATCGCGCACAAGTCTGTTTGATCTCTGAAAGTAGTTTTTATGCTATTTTTACTGTGACCTTTTGTATAGAATGTCTTGCAAGGCGGCAAGTAAGAGTGTTTGGGGAATTTGTTCTTAAATTACAAGTTTGTGTGTTTTGTATTCTTGATAAGTGTTTCAAAGAGTTAAAGGCCATCACCTTCAGTTAAGCTACTACAACTAGACTGATAATTTATTACATCAACTCATTTATTATGAAATTTTTCTTATTGGATGGCCTACATTATTTCATGAGTAGTTAGAATAGACACATGAGTAATTGAATTAGTTTTTGTGCAGATTGTATGAATAGAATAGTTGTCTGACAAAAAAAATTAGCATGAACATTTAAGGTTTCTCAATAAGTGCAATCACCAACATAAATAGCAAACAATATATAGATAAAATCAAGAAATGAAAACTACTACAACAACAACAGCAGCAGCAGCAACAACAACAAACAACAACAATAAATAGAAAATAACCACAAAGTTATCTATCTTAATTAAATTCAATTACTATTCTTTGCTAATTCTTCTACCACTTTGATTTTCCCTGAGGAAACTGCAAGACTTACCCCTTGGCAATGGTGACCAATTGTACAAAAGAATTGTACACAAAAGAGATGTACGCAAAGAGATGTATAAATAAATAGATATTGTGTAACACATTTGTTATCACCATTGTATGCTGATGTTTGGAATGTGAGGTCCTAGATAAAGTTTCTAGTTGACCTTTCATATTTACATACAATACCTGATGAAAAAGTGTTTATTATCTGTATGGAGCCAGAAGGCCTTGAACTATATGTAACTGTATATGAGTTAATGCCATGGCTACAAACTTATATATTGTTGGATAATTTACATTGAATACACGCATCAAATTACATTTTAGCCTGCCAGGCTGCTTTGCCAGAAAATTCATTTCCTTTGTAGTTTGTACTGTGAGGTGAATCTACTGAACTTTACAATACCATGTTGTATTAGCAACACAACAAATAGACAGGGCCTTTAATAAAGAGATTAGCTCCTAACCCCCCCCCCCCCCAACAAAAACAAACAAACAAACAATATATAAATATATTAATAATAATAATAATGGGATAATGATTTAATCTAGGAGTATGTATTCCAATCTTGTGATTTTGTTTCTGTCCACTTTAACAAATATAATACATTTTGAACATTAATCATAACATGATGCATGATGTTAGGGGGAGGGGGAAGGGTCAATAACTGGTTACTTGTTTTGGGGGTAGCATTAAATTGATATTGTTTACAAATTTCATGACTGTTCCCCCCATTTTTGTGACAACTCTAGTTTGCTCTCAAGCATGAAGATGGTGAAGAGGACATCCCAATGCAGCAGAAGCAGAGCTTACGCAAGGCACGGCGGAGTATGGACCCGTCTGCCACCGACCGTAAGAGCATGAGGTCACTCCGAACCACGCCTGAATGGGGTAATGATGTCAACAAGAGGGTGTCTCTGGATCCTAAGCTGGGCAGTACGCTGGAGGAGCAGCTATCATCAAGCAGCGGGAACGAGGACGGGCTCACTGCGCAGAGACGGAGAAGGGAAAGGTAAGGAGGATGGAAGGAGGAATCCAACGTTCAATCCATTGACACTTGTTCTAGGCTTTCTTTTTGGACAAAAGATAAAGGGTTGGGTTCTAACATGAAGCAACCGGTAACTTCAAACTTCAAATCATTGAGAAGCTAGAATGAGGAGGGTCTCTCTCTGTATAGACATGGAGAAGGGAAATTCAAGGGTCCAGAAAGGAGGGACCCAACATTAAATCCAGTAATATTTGTTTCAAGCTATGCAGGGTTAGGGCTTGGGTCAAGATTAGGTTCTAACATGGTTTTAGGTCAGTTTTCATCGCGGAGCAGGAATGAGGAGGGACTCGCTGTGCAGAGAAAGAGAAGGGAAATATATGGTTCAGGAGCATTAAACAACAAATGCCCTCATGGTAAATGCTTCACCATAAATTTCTTATACTAACTGTGTTCTGAATTGAAACCCAGCGCACAGAACCCAGATCGGAGTGCGTATGGGTGTGTCAAGTAGTCTACTCACAAGTTGCTTTTGTGTTGATTGAGACTGTATAATAAACTTGCAATATCTCTAAAGTGGAACCTGTATTATTCAGAGAAAAATAGTTTTGGGTGATGGGTGTACTTAATCAATTTCATTTTGGCTTTACTCTGTTTGAGGATTGAGCTGTGATTGAGCTCCACTCCCTTGTATACATCCATGTATCCATGTATACTGATGATGTCATAAGGTTGTCCAGGTAAAGCTCCAATATCAAAAGACTTAGGGGACACCATTTGTCTAGATCTAGTTCCTTGTTTGTTAAATGTACATATGACAAATGAATTTGTCATCTAGTTTTATCCTGGTGGATTTTTGACAATGAAATATATTTTCAATGAATATTTTCATGAGACGGAGATGACCAGTTTGTTATGAAAATCTGATATTGCTTCCACAGAATTCAATTTAGGAAAATGTTATTGTGTCACAATATCTTTCCTTTGCAGAAGAGGAGATTTGTCTCTTCAAGAAAGATTTGTTGAGAATTTATTCTGTGATTTGGACTTTGTGGGGCTCTCTTTCAATTACTTGTAAAAGTGAATAGCAGCTCATTCAATCTAATTACAGAAAGAAAAGAATATGACAGTATTTGTGAAGAAATCAGTGAATGCAGACTGTAGTAAAATTTTAATTCCTTTTGAAAGATTTTTTGAGCTTGGAATGTTTGGGCTTCTTCCAGTAAGAAAAAACATATTGATTCTGCTGTCCATTTTAGTTTTTGGCTCAGTTGTTAGTGCAGTGGCTTTGGAACCAGGAGGCCCTGGGTTCAAAACCTAGTCTGTACATTGATGCCATTTCGTAAGGCATCGTTTCCATCAAGAACCTTGTCCTTTAGATAGGACTTGATGCTTGAGATACTCTTGACCTGTTGAAAACTGAGCACAAAATGACAGGGGCTTGAGTCTTAGAAAATGTGTGTCATACCAAAATCAAATTTATTAAACCGTCAAAGACAAAATTGAGTTTCCATGGATTGAGAAATAACCCCAAACAAGGAAATTCAAGAAGCTTTTCAAACTATTTTTAAAGACAAGATTTGAAGTACTTTCATCAGATTAGATACCACTTAAATAATGACGCTCACCTTGATTTAAGTACTACATGTATGTGTACTTGCATTGATTTAGAACAATCTGTCAGGTCAGCCTTTTGTGATGTTGTTCGTTTAGCTCTTTGAGGAAATACCTTCTGAAGATGCGTTACAGTTTGTTTAGATGTGGGAATCAGTGCTAATGGACATAGTGGAAGAATATCAAAGACATTTCACCGTTCAGTGATGAATGTCTGTCCTCTTTTCTAGTAATGGTTTAATCTTAAGCTGAAAGAAGTGATTTCGTTATTGGAATACAACTCCTGATTGGACTTCATTTGAAGATAGGAAATATGATTGCATCAGTGATGAATTTCTGTGTGTTGTTAACCTATCTGAGATGGCAGCACAGAGAAGGACTACCTATTGGAAATGATGGATGTAGACTTCATGTGCACTATTCTTATTTCTGTGGTCGTGGACTGTGTTGAGGAATAATACCTGGAATATGAAGTTATGAGAATGTTTTTCATTTGTCTGTCTTTGGATATCTACTTTGGATTAACATAATCCCTACAATATTGGATTGGTTTTCATGCCTGATCTCCAGTGAGAGAGGGAGAGATGGAGAAGAGGTCTAGAATGTGGAATTGGTGGAGGGCTCTGCTGAGATTGATCAGGAGGTGAACATCAATTGAGAAAGATGGAAATTAAAGATCAAAGGACAATATGAGGGGGGAGGGAGAAGGGAGAGAGGTGAGGGAGGAAGAAATGGGGAGGGGGAGAGGGTGAGGGAGGGAAAGAGGGGTGAAGGGGTGAGAGATAGAGAAGAGGTCTAGACCCTCGCAGTGGAATTGGTGGAGGGCTCTGCTGAGATTGATCAGGAGGTGAACATCAATTGAGATAGATGGAAATTAAAGATCAACGGACAATATGAGGGGGGATGGAGGGAGGGAGGGAAGGGTGAGGGAGAGAGATAGGAGGGTGAGGAAGGGAGAGAGAGGGTGAGGGAGGGAGAGAGTGTGAGGGAGGGAGAGAGGGGATGAAGGAAGGAGAAATGGGTGAGGGAGGGACAGAGGGTGAGGAAGGGGGAGAGAAGATATAACCATCACACTCTCTTATGTCAAAGAAAGAAGATTCCTCTGCATAACTACCACTGAATCAGTGCTCACCAGTTAATTGTGCAACTTTTCACTTTTAACCTAACCCCTTATTCTATTGTAAGGCTCACTCCATACCTGCAAAATCATAACAAATATGGTATAATTTTAAAGAGGAATAAATGCTCATTCTAATGAAAATAATAAAAACAATGATTATGCCATGATAAAAGAGCTATAATCGATCCAACTTATATTTTCCAATTTTTTTCTTTCCCATGTTTAGGCTTATTTGTGAGAGTTGTACCCACAGTGGACCTTGACCAAATCTGACACATTTGAAAAGCATCTTAAATGCCAAGGATCACCTATATGGGTTGAATATTTGATTAACTGTCTCACATTTCTTGCTACCTTTCAGGAGGAGAGGGGTTGGCAGTTCAGTACGAGACAATGATGAAGGGACCACACCCAACTCATCACAGAACGGTAACGGAAACGATGATACGATGATGACGTTAGAAGAACGGAGGCAAAGATTACGAGAGAGAAGAGACAATGCTAATAACTCAGACAGCACTGCTAGTACTCCTAGTGGTAAGTCTTATGGGACGTATGCATAGCATGTTTTAGGACTCGAATGAGAAGAGAGAGAAGAGGGATTTATTACACAGGGAACAACAAAGCGAAAAAGAGACTGTGAGACAGAGAGATGGAGAGACTGAGAGAGAGAGAAAAAGAGAGTTTGTGTGTCAATATTATTATATTTCAGGTTTTCACATGATAAAGAAGGAGGAGGACTGGGCAGCTGAATATTTGTGGTAAGTGTGGCAGCAAGATGTTTGTGTAATCTGGACCAGATGGAGAAACGTCATCCATTTCAACATGTCAACCTGCAACGGAATATCAAGAGTTGTTGCCAAGTCAGTTCCAGAATGAATTGTAATGCTAATGAGCAACTTTTTTTAAAACCATTTAGATACCTGAAATGTAAAAGGCAAATTTATGATTATTATGAAATGGTGAAAATAAGTGATGTATATAAATATCTGTAGAGAGATTTGTAATGGGTTTTGTAGCTGCCGCATGAAGTCAGCAAACTTTTTGCTTGAAACACATTATTTATGTTTCTACGTATGTGTGTATAGCAATGGTGTAATAAGGATGAATTGAAAATCCTTGCTGTAAACATTTTTTTTTTCTTCCAGCAAGCAATATATATATACAAAAACAGCATGTGCAACATGTTGCTTTGTGTTAAACAACACTGGCTGCATAATGTGAAGCACTTATAGCCGAAAGGCTTTATACCTTGTCTATGCTGTTGTAAATCTTTTCAGTAGCTGTCCATGTTCATTTAGGTTAAAGAAATAAATTGTAATTATCCCCAACATTCTAATTAGAAGATCTTATCACACAAAAATGATTACATTGCTTAAATTTTAACTAATTCCATTATGTGATTCTTTACAATGAATCTGCTTCTCTATTTGGAAAACATATTTTTTCTAGGGTGAAAGAATTCACAGGTTTCATTAATTCCAGCAATAACCTAGATTCCAGTGTGTATATGATTGTGGGAAAGGTTGCATAACCCATGTTTGCAGATTACCGTTAAAAGGTGATAATATCCTTTGACTTCTGGCAGGGATATCCTGTCACTTGCAGAATCCTGTCTAATTACCGCAATTAAACAGATTACAGAGGAAATCACTCAGATTACACAGTTATTCTTACAATACAGGCACCCACTCATTAGCAGTGGTTTTTCTCACGTAAGATTTTCAGGTCATCCCAAACCTCATTATAGGTAATGTGAATTTGTGCGAAATGAAATCCTTGAAAGCTCTTATGGGATATATCATTTGTTCAAAGTATTAAAGAAGTCATATCATTCTGGCTCCATACAGGCAATTAGGTATTAGACAAGAGTTTACCCCAAATGTTTGCCCCTCTTAAAAGCCAATGGTTTTCATAATTTTGAATTTCTAGCTATTTTTTGAGACTTATCAAGGTTGAGAGAACATATTCTGTTTATTTAAAGTTCAGGAACAATTCCACTGTAACAGAAGATATCGTGATCAGATCAATTCTAAAAAGTTTACTACGCTTATGATTCTTCATATATCCAGGTGTTTTAGAGTGCACTCTTTAGGAGTTGTTCTTTAACCCTCAAAGGTTTATTTAATAATTTTCCAATTAAGGAATTCATTTTTATTACCCCTTCAATGTTACCTTAATTATGGGTTACTGGAAGAAGGGAGCCCAGACACATTTGATGTTGTCTTTGTAGCAACATACCATGTTGTATGGCAAACAAGGGAAACCCCAGGCTGAGGGAATTTAGGCTATAAACAAGTCCTTCCGGAAGAATTTATAGAGAGACGTGTCATGTCAAAGCCATTTCCAAAGACACATTCATCGGCTCTTCCTGTGAACAAATCACAACGGATCTAGTCTGTCTGTGTTTTGTGTGCTTGACATTTGTTACCAGCTATGTTCTTCTCAAAGTCTCGGCTCAACCTCTAATTTGTACCTTGTCACGTCTTGTGGCTCTTGTGAAATAGGTTTCTCTCTTTCATCTTCTCTTCTTTCCTTCTTACATTGTAATCTAGTATCTCAGTCTTTACTTTTGTCTCTACAAATCTCTCCCTGTAATTCTTTTTTTCTTCCCTTCTCCTATCCTCCTTTTCCTTCTCTCATTTTAATTCTGTCACTGCTCCAGCTTTTATCTTATGCTTCATTTATAATATCCTTTCTCTATTTTTCTCTTGTCTGTCTCTCTCTGTTCTTCTCTGTTTTTATACTATATCTCTCTATACCTCCATCTTTATCTCTCTATCTCCTATCTCTGTCTTTCCTTGTCCTGATCCATCTCTTTCTCATTTCTTCTCTCTATCACTTTATATTTTCTTGCGATAATGATTCATCCTTCTTTTTTCACCTTCTTCCCCTCTTCTTTATTTTGTCTCTCCTTTTAATCTTCTTATATCTCTTGCTTTTCAAACTCTACTTTTATCTGTCAAGTCACGTCTTCAGGCCTTTTCTGTGTCATCTTGTATTGTTTATTGAATTTTACCAGTTGTTTTCTATGTAATCAAATAAGAATTAGAGTAAGGAAGTCAGGTTTATACCATTATTCCTGCTATTCTGTTTTTTCTCAACACTTTGTGATTCATGAATTGTCACAGCTTTATCTCATTCAGAAAGAAGATCCAAACATCTTTGCCTTCATGAGAAAAATGTGTTTGGCAGCTGTGATGAGATATGAAATATATGCAGTAATTATCTGTGTCTGGTAGAACTGGGTTTTTCTGTGTTATTTACAGGATATGTGTTTTATATGTTTGTTATCTGTCAAATGATGAAAAAGGAAAATCATTCCATGAATTGCATTCTAAGAAACCACATGTTTAGTCAGTGAGTGATTTGGGTGTTTTTTGGTCTTAAGAGTTAGTTGAATCATGTAAAACAGAGAAACATAAGTTTCTTAATTATTTACTCATCTTGACATATTCAAGGTGTATCAAGACGAACTATCATTAAGATTCAGAGATTTAACCATTCCTTCATTGTAGGTGATCAGACTGCAGCACCCAAAAAGCGACACAAGTTATCCATCCGAGCCATTGTAAAAGAAGAGAGTACGGCCGATATCCTCAGCGCTTCCTCCCCTCAAACCCCCCAATCAGGTATAAAGACTGCCCCACCCTACCCCACCCCTGCAAGTGCCCCACCCCTCTCCATCCCTCCCCTGATGTTTAAGATATGGACCCCATACTTTCATGTTTCAGAAACCTCATGTTTGTTTTTACTACCATAATGTCTTGAATCCATCATGTTGAGAAATTCAGTCAATCTACATGTAGCTATCATTCATAGTTAATTTCACTGATGACATTGTAATTGACATGTCCTTATGTATTTCACACTAATAACTTTCATTTTGTTCATTCTTTTTTAAAATGCACATCAAAATCTACATGAATGCATGCAGTTGTTCAACACTTGAATTTACCAGGGAGTCTACAACTCTCATCCTTATTCACCAGAGAAAATGAATAACAGGATGTAGTTTCAGATCATCTGATTTTCATTGAAATCGGGACTACCATTCATAATATTTAGATTGTCTAACTGTCTGTCTGTCTGTATGTACATGTATGTTACTAACCAAGCACATGTGTCAGTCTACAGAGTCTAGACTTGTTTTGTAAGATCACAAAAACTATCTTTAACTTTCAATATGATTCCCTTCTGTCAAAACTGACAGCAGATATTTTAATGTTTGACTGACATCACAAACTAATATCCAAGTTTCTTGTTTTTTACAGATGAGCATGCGATTTTCAAGTCTGAGTCTTTCAAGTCCTGAATGTTTAAATAACTGTTGTGTGATTACCCATTTTGCAACAACCAGCCAGTCGATGTTTGATAACGTTTTTATGAATTAATAATTTTTTTCATTTCTGCTTATCGGGTTATTGTTCTTGATAACCATTTCTTTTTAAATTTTTGTATCAATGTGAAAACTCTTTCTTTTCTTAAAGTCTTAGGATGAATCCATAAAAGATAAAACATTTCTTTTCCCCTTGATATAAATTTAAGGTATGAAACGATTGCCATATAATACATCATTTCTGTTTGTTTACAGCAAGCGTTTATACTACAAGCACCAATTAAATTTCAAAGAACAGCAAATCAATGCTTTATCATGTGTGTGTTTACGGCATGATATATGTCTATTTCTTGATCATTTAATCCTGGAGTTTGCTTCACTTTGTCTTGCCTTCACCTAATCATCAGCATGATTTGGCTTTTTGGCTTTTTATGGTGTAATGTGCATCGATTCGTTAGGTGTTTCACGTCTGTCTCCATTTTATAGAACTCCCTTCTGATGCAGTTATTTATCAAAGTGTTACACAGTGATGTGTTTATGGTTACATTGTTGAGGATGTGAAAAGTGATGTTCAATTCTAGATGTATTTATATCACTGTATCACTATTCTTCAAAACTGCTCTTCTTGACAGTATTTTCTTTCTTTCTCTGAGCACTGTTTATTGAGATGATTGTGTTGAAGATGAACATGCATTCTGTTCTTCTCAAAGTTTGATGGTGATTCAAACTTTGTTACGTTTCAAAACTTGAATTAGATCACCATTCACAATATGGTCACCAAAGTTGATTAAGTTTGGATAGATTGAAAAGGAAATTAATAATATCGTCCCTATTTTCACGAAGTGACGGTAGTGAGGAAAATTGTAACGCAAAGTGTATGCGATTTTCATTCACTACCGTCACTTCGTGAAAATATGGACGATATATACAATTTTGTTTAAATTAAGCAGCTTGGCATCTTAAAAAAAGCTATTAATTTTAGGAGTAGATTATGAAGTCATTTAGAATTAGTATATTTGATTATGTTTCCTTTGTTTTGTATCTCTGTGACCCTAATTGTTAAAACCAAAGATCCTCTTAGAAATGACAAGAGTCAATCATCAGATTCTTCGGCCAGCAAGTCGTCATCTCGCAGTAAGTCAGGCGTGCTGTGTGATTGTGATCTTGTATTTATAGTAGACCTTTGCTCTTATCTGATATGTAAGAATGTGAGATATTTACAAAAAAACTTCTTTTCTTATGAACAATGGACTGAGGATGAATTAAAACACATGCATTCGAACTTGATGTATATGTAACTTAAGAAGTTTAATTGGAATGCTAATTGTTACATGTTCTGTAATAATATATATAAATCTAGATTGGAGAAGTCCATGTTCCATAAGGAAACTAACAACCAAATATTAGCCATTAATAATGCAATAATGCTATACCATAACATTAAAGGAATGATTTCACACTTTGTATTAAATTTGCAAACTTAACACATTACTTTGGGGTTTATTATACATACTTAGAGTTTATCTGTTCACTCTTGTATAATCAAATTTCTCTATGAATGTTGATAAGGGATATTATTTGCATAAAGCTGGTATCTATCAAAAAAAACTTTTTGCTTTGATTTGAATAACTCTGTTATTTCCTATAATTCTTTTAGGAGCAATATATTGTATGAATAGTATAAATGCTATTTGAATGAAATGATTGGGAAAAATATACAAGCATGGTAGCATTGCATTATGCACAAAATAGTCTTAAATCCTTTACAAACTGCATCCATGAGCATGTTTTAGGAAATATTCGAAACCAAAAAGTTATTAAAATGCTGCTCGGAGGTTGATTTTTTTCTTCAACGATCGAATGAGTGATCTGAATTAGGAGGGTTTGTTTAGATTAAGATTTACTGAAGGCATTATTATTATTTATTTTATTTGTTTTATTTGAAATGAATTTGTTGCCCAGATGACAACAATGCTAGTGATGCTTGCGAGTTTGTAATGCTTGGACCAAGGTCACCATCTGTCGCCTTGGCAACAAGTCCAACAGATGGCCACGCCTCCAAGCCATCTTGGTCGCCCGATGACCAGCATATTACCCAGAATGCAGTAGAGCACGTAGAGAGCATGGAAGGGGAGAATCAGGAAGAGGGAAATGTGCGCCAGAAATGTGATCCTGGTAGTTGTCATGGCAACAAAGAAAGTGATGAAGATACTCACAAAGAGGACAGCTTTGATGATGATCATGAAAGGTTGAAAACTTTTCATGAAGAGGAGGAAGCTGATCTTAAAGAGAAATCATGTCGTGATGAGGATGAAGTTCCTCATCCTCCTCACGAAGTCGAAGATGATAAAGAAGATGATAAAGAAGATGATGATAAAGATGATGAAAAGGTTAATGATGGAGACGATGATGAAGATGGTAATGGAGATGATGAAACTCAAGACCAAAATATTGATGGAGAGAAGGAGAGTGAAAATGAAGATGCAGAAGACGATGTGGAGGAAGATGAAGCCACACCGGAAGATGATTGTTGCCATGACAACACAGAGGATGACAATTCTGGTGGAGGTATTGAATGTGTGTTCATGTGGTATACAGGACTTTGGAATTGGACCTCAAAGGCTGGTCAAAATGCAGTCTTTTACAAATCGCTAAAACTTGGATTATTTTCTGGTATCTTTCCAGAGCAATGATAACACCAAATCCAGAAATGTACTTACCGTACATAAAGTAATGAAAGAACAATATGACTATCATATTTGAATTATGGGGAATGGTTTGATTTGTTTTTGCTTGAACCATACTCAATTTTTGTTTTAAAGAAAACAAAACAAGTGAAAGTATAGATGTATATAAATTGATATTCCTGTGTCCTGTTATCATGCATGGTGTGTTTAATGAAGATCTATACACCTGTATGTCTCACCCGTTCCTAGGAGTAATGACAGTGCTTACCAGTTGTGATGAAGTCTGAAACTAACATGACATTGTTTTTTATTGAATCATATCCAGAAATATTTATAAAAAGAAAACAATAACTCAAAGTATTGATGTATACATATTGTTATCCTGGCAGATGAGATGCATGCTCACAAAAATTCATAATTTTGAAGAGTATACATGTATATCAATATTGGGGAGAACTTTAAAAAGAAAGACTAACATAAAATAACTCAAAAGAAATGACATCTTACTAAAACTTTGATGATTAGGTTCTTTGGATAGATATGAAAGCATGACATACACCTAACGAGTCTATACAGTATGATTCTAGCTAATTATCTAGATAATATGTTTTAATAGTACATACCGTACTTGGTTAGTACATACTAAGCAGAAATAACATATTTTGAATAACAGATAGTTTATTTAAGATGTACTAGTAGCAAAGTCTGTAAAAGTCTGCTGTGAATTTTCAATGTAATTTGAATGTTTAGAGCATTCAGCATTATGTCTGCTCGCTTCTTTGATGATGTTACTCTGTAGTACTAGCATGGATTGTAGCTTGGTGTGATCAATCACTATACAGAGAATGGAAGCATGTTTTGCCGTGATACCTTCACACCACTACCACGCCCAAGTTTCATTCCAACATGATATTCATCTTCCATTCCATCCTTGTACCTCAAGATCGTCTCAGACCGGTGGTGAAGGTAGAGGGAGGCAAAGAGAACGGAGAGGAGGAGAAGAACTATGGTACCTGGCCCTCTCCAGCTAGGAGAAGGAAACAGTACGAGAGGAAGGCACAACATTCACCACAGAAGAAGAGAGAGGAGAAGGAGGAGGATGGGGATGACGTCATGGCGTTACTTCGAGGAGGGTTGTCATCAGGGATGAAAAATGAAGAGACAAACTCCAGAAGATCTGTTGAGAATGAGGATGAACAGAATCAGGCAGTTGTGGTAACAAGGACTCCTAAGGCAACTAAATCTGAAGAGACAAAGGAACCTGATGTTCCGAAGAAGGCATCCGATAGACAAAAAGAAACGGAGGATGTTGCAAAGAAGAGCGCTGAGGAGAAAACGGCTGGGAAGAGGAAGGAGGACACAGATAGCGTGACTATCAAGAGACCAACAAATGAAGAGATGGTTGATGCTGCAAAGGATGTGAAGGTGAAGAGTGGAGAGATAAAGGATGAGACCAAAGCGGAGAAGGGTAATGGTTCTAAAGAAGGGTCATCTAAGAAGCCTGTTGAGAGACGGAGAAGTTTCAAGGCCATGGTGAGCATTACAACGGAGGAAGAAAAGATCGTGGAGGAAACCAACAACATCAAACCAGATCAAACAAGTGAGAAGTCTTCCATAGAACCACAGAAGGAAGAGAAGCAGACAGACATTGTAAAAGACCAAAAAGAAGACGAGTCAAAGCTTAATGGCGAGATTGAAAAGAAGAATAAGTTGAATGAGGAGGAGAATAAAACGAAAGAGCATGAGAATGATAAGATTCAGAATGGAAGCCTCAAGGGTAGAGGGAAGGGAAGACCGCAGAGAACTGCAAAGAATAAAATCTTTGCAAATGAGGGAGATGACCTGATGACTCTGTTAACAGGAGGCATGTCATTACCAAGGAACTTCAAGACCAAAGATCACAAGCACACATGTAACGGAGAACACAAGAAAAATGGAACGATTGAACAAAAGAATGGAAAGATTGAACAAAAGAATGGAAAGGGAGTAGATAAGAAGCAGGGGAAAGATGAACCTGATTTCGGCACCTGGCCCAGAAAGAAGAAAAAGAACGTTGAAGAGAAGAAGATTGATAAAGAGGAAGACATCATGGCTTTCTTAAAAGGTGGTCTGGATGCAACGAACAATGAAGAAGAGGAAGAAGTCGAGGAGGAAGAAGAGGAAGAAGAAGAAGAAGAAGTAAAGGGACACATCTGTGAATTCTGTGGGCAGAACCTTGATGAGATGGATGATGAAGAGGAAGAAGAAGGTGAGAACGTGGAAGAGGAGGAAGAGGAGGAGGAAAAAGAAGAAGAGGAAGAGGAAGAAGACAAGAACAAGGACGAGTACTCTACAAAATGTGAGGAGACCCTTGAAGAAGTTGACAAGGAACCGGAGCTGTTCCGTCGTCACACCCAGAAGGACACCAACATGGATGATCTACTGATGATCCTCAAGAGTGGTAGTCAGAGCGGACCACCACCAGAAGATGAGGATGATGAGGATGATGATGATGAGGAGGATGATGAGGGAGATGAGATGTCCACTTCTGAAGAGGAAGTCACAGTCAAGGAGAAAGTCACAGTCAAGGAGAAACCCACGAGTGAGTTCTTGTTTTAAACCGCAAATTGGAACAGTTCTTGATGCAATAATGCTACAAGCCCCAGCTTAGATTATTTCGTAGAATATGGAAAAACCCCAGGTAATTGAAAATGGCTAGCCAAAGCGCAAACCAACCAAAATCTTGTAAAAAAATAATTAATTTGATTCATCATGATGCATTTCCCCACTCATTTTCCTTCCATTCAAAATATAGCCATATTTATCCAATGATGCCAGTATCACCCAAAAATCATGTTGCATATTAAAATGACACTGATATCAAAAGTGTTATTCAAGCATGTTTGAACCTGTCCAAATCACATATGAATGATGTCAATTTGGTCGTCATTTATCAAATATTTCATCTAAGCATGGCTATAATAAGCTGACCCCAATATTCATACATTATACCCATATAATTGCTCTATATTCATTTAAGAAACTCATGTATCCTGCTTGAAGTTTGAAAGTGTACAAGATGCAAGTTTCATGACGTGATGATTTGTCTCCATCTCTTAAAGTTTTTTTAATTTTCCTTTTTCTTTTCTTGTTTTCCTCAAGGTTTGTGGGGAATGTCCAGTGAGAATATTAATTGTAAGTTTTTTTCTTTCATCAAATTGCTTTCTTTTTTTGTTGAGCAAAAGTGCATTAATGTGATACTACTTGGGTGATTTTATAAAAGGATGTCAGATAAAATTATTGTTACTGTACTTTTATCATTTGCATATTTGTTAGTAATCACCTTGAATCACATTCATTATAAGATCAGAGTACAATAAAGACTGTTGTGAATTGAGTTACTGTTCAATCCAGTTTGTTATTTAAAACTTGAATGATTTGTTTCAATACATACTGTAGTAGAGCATATTTTCTGCTTTATTTTCTGTTATTTTCCTTCTTTATCTTTTTAGCTTTCTGTCATAAAATACTTTGCTCATAATTTCTTCCTTTCTTTCCTACTTTTAGCTAATTCATCTTCTACTCTCTATGGTGATACTAGTGCTGATAGTAAGTTCTACATGTTGTCACCCCAAGTGTCATTTTGATCTCTTATCTCAGTTTGGAATTAAAGAAAATGTTAATCATCTTCAAGAGAAATAGATTTGTACAAAGTATGCTTATTTCATGATATATGATTGAGTCATTTATTAATGAAAATGTTTTGAAAAATACTATTTTATTGTGAATCTTCCTGTGATATATGCATTATATGGATGCCAAACTTGGTCTGCCACTCTGTCTGTTTATTGACAATATATTCTGTTCACCTGTTCCCTTGTTCGGCACAAGAATTGCAATATTTGTCTCCTCTTGTATGCAATATATGTGACTGAGCAGTACCACATGTAATTATGATAATTATGACTAGCACTCTTCTTGTTAAGGATTTGTGAATGTCCCTTTCCCATTATGTCTGTACTCTTGAATATTGTGTATAAAGCAACCACTTACAAAACACACACCACTTCGACTGGATGTTATGTAATATGACACATTATGTGCACCATCTCCTTGTAAGTCACCACCCTCACGACTGTACCCCCTAAAACCCCTTTCTAGAATGGGCTCGTCTGGCTAACCCTGAACCCATCTTGCGGAGGACAAATTGGGGTCTGCTGCCCTCGTCATGTGAGTTACGGAGCAGGTTGCCGTAGTGTGGTTCTGCCTGATTTCTGTGTAGCCTTGTTTTGCAGTTTTCATGGATTTTGCAACCAAATAATCAAGTGTTCTAGTGAAGTTATAGTCTCTTTGTTGTCTGTTTTTTGTGATTTAGGAGTACGTCAAAAGCGGTGCTTTAGATTCATATCTGACGGTAGCTGAAGAGATTCATATAGATTGTTCAATCACTAGATGACAAAGATTTGGCTTGCAGTTGTTGTTTGAGTATTTAAATGCATGGGTTTGATGAATTTAGCAATCTTCATGTAGTAATTTGTTCCATTTACATCAGTTTACAGAGCAGTACAGATGTGTTGACGCAGATTGACCGATTACATACTCATCAAGTCAAAATAAACAGTGCAGAAACAGGGACATCATCAATTATTTGTTGCCGTCATTTGTGTATTGTTGCTGTGTTAAATTCTTAGATTGTTGCAGAATGTGTTTTGATTCAGATTCTTCAAAAAAGATGAGCAAATTATTATGTTGATCTTCGCATTTTTCTTAATTGACATATATATATTTGTTACTTCTTTCATATTGCAGTGTATGGTTAGTATCTATTCAGTGCATGATTTTCTTCAGATTTTGTGAAGTGAATGCTTTTTATAGCCGTGTCAGAAACCTTCTAGCATTCTAGAGAGTTGTCTGTTCTGTTTTCAATTCTTCTCTATCAACTACAATATAGAGATTCCCATGTTGAAGTGAATACTAATGCAGTTTCAAAGAGTGAATTTGAAATGGAGCAAATTTAAGTTTTAATCAGACAATGTTTATCTGGAATTGATAGAACAAAAATGTAATTACATTTGTATAAATAGGCCTACATTTATAATGTTGTAATGAATATTTGTGTTGGCTACTTACTCAAAATTCTAGAACCAATACATGTATGTTTATGTACATGTTGGTTCAGGGAGAGATGGAGTCGATAGCATTTGGCCTATTGCTATAAAAAAAGTGAGAATTGTTTTATCAAATTGGTTATAATTGGACAATAGGTCATTACCGAGTGGACCTTTCAATCTCGACCTTGCTTCAACAATCATTCTTTTTTCTTTTCCCACTCCAAAACAACTCCACACCATTCCTATCCTATCAACCCCTGTGTTGTACCTCTATCATGTGTTCCGCAATCCCAACTCGATTGGTATAATCCTACCTTCCTCTGTAACAAACTATCATCCTCTCTCATACCTCCTTCCTGTTGCACTCCCATCGTCCATTGTCAATACTTACCTTCCCGGAACAGGGATCCCATACTGCCCAGCGGAGCTCGCCAGCTCCCCTTATGCCACCCTCCCCAGGCAGAAGCACCCTGTGACCACCAGGAGCTCTTCTGTTACCTCCAAGCCCCCTACAGGGGTAACCTCTACGCCCCCATCTACCTCTTACTCCTCCTCCACCGCCCCTCGCTCCAGCTCTTCAACTAGAGATCGGGGTACGGAGAGGAGTTATGGGACAGAGAGTTCTTCGTCCAGAGACAGGGGTTCTGAGAAGAGTTATACCGATAGGAGGACAGAGAGGGTGACAGAGAGGGCGACAGATAGGGACAAATACAGATCCAGTTCACCCAGCGGTAGGGGTGCTTGCTGTGTCCACTCTGATTTTCTAGATGATAAAGATAGATGCATCTAATGTATTTTAAACAATTATTGCAACAATTGCAATCAATGATGCATATCAAAAATAGATGATGTACCATTGCTGTAAAAAGAGTTGAGAGTCAAATATATGGTTGTCTCCTCTAGATACAGAAAACATTTTTAAAAGTAGTTTTCAACTTTGAGGATGAATATTTGAGATTTTCACCTACGAATGGAAAATTTTACTCTATGAATCTTGAATCATTTGTTTTTATGGAAGCTTCCATTTTCTTCTTCATTTGATTTGGTTTTACGGTGCTTACTTTTAAATGAGTCAAAACCTGTTCGAACATAATTAGATGAAATAATTGCTGTGTGTTTACCAAGTGAAGAATTGTCTTTGTATCAGGATCATTAAGTTTCAATTATTAGTCTTTTCTCCTGTCGTATCATCATAGTAGAACTAAACAAATTCATCACTTGAATTATTTGCATTTTTTTTTATATACACCCTTTATTTAGAAATTCTTTCATCTTTATTATGAACTATCATGTTAATTTCTATGTGAACTTGGCTTACTTAATGATAATTTTCCTCCCATTTTTAGACTCCTCCTACTCCCGATCGAATCGTGAATACCGTCGTTCATCATCGTCTTACGAAACGCCTTCAAGAAAGAGCAGCATATCATCTAGACCTGGTGGGCAGAAAAAGATCTTTCATATCAAGTTAATCACTTAAACTTGTATTATTGAAACAGGGAGCCGGTTTAATAGCATTTAATTGATATATGCTTGTTGCTTTTAACAAAACACGCACTGTTTACGAATCGCTGGTATTTTACTGGCAATGTTCTAACATGATAAAACTCTATTATTTTATAATTCCAACTAAGAGTACTTACTTCTTTTTGAAAGAAAAATGATTATTAACAGTATAACACATTAAATGATATACTTACATATATCTCTTAATATATTTCAAATGAATGTTGAATGATTTGCTTGAAGAAATATATCTTAATGGTATATAATGCTACAGAAAAGGGGTATTTTTTTTACTCAGTAGTTCTTTGGGAAGAATAATTTCTGTCTTGCACCACATTGCATGGAAGGTCAATAGCAGCATTGTAGAAATAGAATCACACTAACCAAAGTAGAAGTAGTTTCAGCACTATTTGAATATTAGAAAATAGTCTATTTTCACTAGTAGAAAAACATGGTTGCTATCACTTGTCACCATTTAAGACATGTTTCTCAACATTTTTCCTTTTTCCAAGGAGATAATCAAAATTAGGGAAAGCTTAGGAATGATAATCCTATAATGCGCACTTTGTGTACGTACCGATTGCAAATGGTATTGGACATGATAAAAAAGTACAAGTACAATGTTAAAGGAAAATTCAAGATTTAAATTCAAGAAAAGAATAAACTGGTTACTAATGCTATGATCAGTACAAAGACAAAATAAGTTCAACTACAGTATGGTTGTTTAATGCATCTTGAAATGCATGTTTCTTTTACTCTTCTAACCGCTTCTTACGAAAAGCCGAACCTTCGATTGATGAAGCGAGAACCAGTAGTTACACGCCGTCCTCAAGCGGTCGAGAGTCGGTGCGACGATCAACGTCCACCTCCGATCCGTCGTCATCCTCGTATACCTCATACAGGAGTGACCGGCTCTCAAGACGGGGTATGCGTCATTGTTTGGTGTCACTGTCTCATAAGATGCGCCGACTTTAATGCACCAGTTACGAATGGAATGATCACGCATGAATGTTAATTCAAGTTCTTGCAGCATACAGCTATAATAAAGCTGGGGCGCAAGGGATGGAAGCTTGATTTATGACCACAGAGAATGCTTAACACAATTTTGTTTTAATAGATGTATAATAATGCCTGTATGGGAAAGATAGGGATCTCTTAAAATTGATATTCTGCTATACTTTGCTTCTCTTTCGCAAAGAATTTAATGTAGATAAAGGATTATATATGTATGAGCTTTTAATTGTGTTTCTATTATGAATGTAATAGAGGTCTTTCCTAAACTTTGAACTTTAATAGCTGAAAAGTTATACATACACATGGCCTTTCTGTCTTTACATACTGTTTCTCTTGATATCGTCTTTCTATTGAATGGATACCAAAAACTCATTTGTAGAGATACTGACATTCTGTATTCACCCCCGCCCTGCCCCACCCTGCCCCTTCCCAATCCCCCCCCCCCCCCCCCCAATCCAGGAGACTCTACATCAGTGGTTAGTGTACCACGATCCCCCACCTCTCCTTCCTCCCCCTCCTCCTCATCCTATAGTCGAAACGTCACTCCCCAATCGTACCGTCGGTCAACCTCCATCGAGTCGGTCAAGTCACCGACATCGACAAAGAAGGGTATGAGGGCATGTCGATGTGTGTGGACGTTACTCAGTATGTGTTGAATCGCATGATCAGTATGAATATTCACAATTATTTGTTGATATTAATTGTGATTTTCTTCAGTGTCGTGCACTGCATGGTACGATTCAGATATGATTCTATACTAACAAGTACTCTCTATTTTTTACAGGTAATTTTTATTGTTGTTTATTAACTTGAATGAACTGTGTCTATTCCCCAATTGGTACTTTTTATAACCAATTTTATTAATTTTTACAGGAATCAGCACTGCATGGTCTATAATGTCACTATTCTCACATTCAATCCCTTTTCCTATGATAACATTGCAACCATCTTGTTTTCATCAGGTTGTGATGAAAAGAGTATCGGTGTAACAAAACAGTTACTATTTTTAACCAGATTTGAATTGCCAGTGTGTATGTCATGTTTGTCCATCATTTTTATGTCAATATTGTTCGATAACAGTATGTTCAGTTACAACATTCTTGAAGTATTGATGTGTTTTATCAGTTACTAACAAGTATATTTTAACCAATATGATATTTATATTTCAGCATGTATTTCTGTCTTATCTGTATATTAACAAGGATTTGTTGACACCAGTAATAACGTTTCATATTGCAACCTTTTTACAAGTTTGTTGACAATGCAATGAGACTATTTATCGTTTATTTTGTTACCTGTGATACTTTCACAGTTTCATAATACAAGGAACCTTTGAATTGTCAAGAAGAAATGTTTGAAGCATGCAATATGCAGTTAGAAGATGACATGTGTGTGTTGTCACCATGCAATCATATACCATATGTTTGTTTTGTATTTTGACATGTCTACATCTACCATAGATATACATGTGTAAAAGATTAATTTACATTATAACATTTTAAGTTGATGTTGTGCTCTTTTGAATTGAAGTGATTTGGAACTGGATAAAGATTGCTGGTAATGGATTAGCAATTTAAAGATATCCTTTTCTCTTTCCCAATTTGCTCTATTCCACTTAAAAAGCATGCCATGCACACAAAAGGAAACATCTTGTCCAGTTTTTGACTCTAGATGAAAGCAGCCAATCACAAACCATGTTAGATGAGAGCTTTGACCTGGACATTGACCCTACAGTCGCTGATTCTTACAAACCTACTAATGCTCACAGAAGAAGAGGACATGTTCATTTTGTGACTGTAGATGAAATTGACCAATCACAAACCATCTTACAGAATGATTTTGACTTGGATTTTAGCATGACGATATCTGATGACTTGACAAACATTGATCATGATTCACACACAGACCTTATTCACTTTGGAGCCATGTACGCACAACAAATACAGAAACATGTACACTTTATGGCTCCAGATGAAACTAACCAATCGCAAACCACTTTAGATAGGGACATTGACCTAGGCACCATGACGGTTACTGATTCGATGACGATTATCAATCCTGAATCTGACAATGAACCTGACTCAGACACTGACTATGAAGCGGACATTGATGAAACGGACGATAATCGTATAGACATGACTAGAAGACGTTCTAGTCTTAAACTAAGACCCGATAGTGATGCACTGTTCATAGAACAGCTAGCCGACCTCATGTGTCAACCACGTGAGTTAAATATTGGAATTATTTATCATTCAATTCCGTCATCATCTCAGGTGTTTGGTATCATTCATTCTTTGGATTGAAATTTAATATTTTTGTTGTTTTGGGGGTTATATCTCATTTTTTGGTATAATAGGCATGAGTACTGCTCATAGTAGCAGACAAATTTGAAGTAAAACATTGCTTCATTAACCATCTGTTCTAGATAAGTCTCTTTTTTTAATGGCTGAGTGAACTGTTTGGTCAATGTGTTTCATTTAATGCATGTGAAATTATTCATATTTTAGGTTTCACCACAAGTTCAAATTGATATGTTATTCAAATGGATTCTAAAACTTTTTCATTTGAAAAATGTATATGAACGTATTATCGAGTATACATGTATACATATGAGAGGTAATATAGGGGTCTTTTACATTTAAAAAGTAACCATCTTCTGTTTATTTCTTTTCATGGTCTTGTGAAAGAGATGGATGAATGTATGTGAAGTCATCCTTCTCTTAAAATGCAATCGTATGATATTACTACTCTGATGTTTTAATATTTGGGTGCATGATGTTGTAATATGGGCACCACAGTATGGAATGTATTCACATTAAAAGATGCATGAAGTTTAATAATGGTTTGATCATATGTGTGGTTAATATTTCTGACTATTACCAATCAAACTGATGTATTAAAATGTTACATCAAGACATCACTAGATTGGTAAGTCATTGTTAAGTTAGAGAGTGTGAGAGAGGATGATTTATGAAGTATTATTTTATTATTATTTTATTAAGTATCTTTACATGATACATTGTTCTAGAAATTGGTCATTGTGATTAAGTTTTGTTACGGGGACCAAATAGTTTTCCTTTACCGTATTTGCCGGCGTATAGGCCGCAGTATTTTTGGAAGAAAAAATATCAAAAAGTCGGGGTGCGGCCTATGCGGCGAAAGAGTAAAAAAAAGATTTTTTTTTTTTTTTTTTTTTTTTTTTTTTTTTTTTTTTTTTTAGTTTTGATTTATGGCGCTATGCCTGGCAATGTCTCCCAGCTCAGTAATCATTGTTGACTCACCACTCGGAAACTACAACAACACTAAAATTTGTCTGTCATCTTGGTTTGAAAGTAATCTTTCTAATAGATCTCAATATGTAGTTTATAATAATAATTCCTCAATTTTTTTTATATAACAAATGGTGTTCCACAAGGTACTATCCTAGGACCTAGTACTCTTTTGTTTTTAATTCACATTAATGATCTTACACATTCTTCTAAAAACGACATTGTTACTATTATTTTGTGACAAGTTTACAAGCACAAATCAGCGCCTTTAACTGCACCTCGATGTTAAATGAAGGTCCTTCCCCGCGTGGGTTTTCGGCAACAAAACAACAACAACAACAAAAAAAAAAACAAAAAAAAAACGATTTTTTTTTTTTTTTTTTTTTTTTTTTTTTTTTTTTTTTTTTTTTTTTTTTAAATGTCAAAATCGGGGGTGCGGCCTATACGGCGGTGCGGCCTTTACGCCGGCAAATACGGTAGTTATTTATTTATCTTCACTCATTCTTGTTTTTTTAGTTGTTTAATTACAATTTATATATAAAATAATGAAATAATCATAATTGGTATTGACAAGGAGATTAATTAAAGAAAGCATGCTCTGTTTTCAAAATTATTAGAAAACGGAAATGATTATGTAATTCAAGAAATTATTTTGTAATTAAAGAAATTACTTTAAATTTAAGAAATTAAAACTCACAATTTCCCAAAGCTTCTTAATGCAAAACAGATTGCAGTTATCTGAAAATACAGTTCTTACTATGTTCTACTTGTAAAGATTTATGTTCTATAGATTTATATTCTATATGTTCAGTATATAATGTATTGACATTCTTATGTATTTTCATATTTGTTTATGTATAGAGCCCGGGAATGATATAATGGCACTCCTCTCACAAGGCGACGACAGCTCAAAAGATAGAAGCTCAACCATAAGCAGCAGTAAGTCTTATCTCCCCTTTCTCTTTACTATCATTTAAAATGTTCTCGACTATTCCCTTTGTTTCAGCTGCAGAAAAGGAGGGTGTGGGGTTGATGATGGTGGGGATATTGTTCCTTCATCCTCACACCTCCCCCCCCCCCCCCCCCCCCCCCATCCTAAATATGAATCACTACCCCTTTATCAAGGGAGCGTTTCAAGAAACCATCATCAGTACAACTTTACCATTATCCCATTGAAATGCGTGTATTAAATCTCACACATGTTTCAATATGATGTCGGTGAACTTGCACTTTTTGTGGTTTCATGAAACAATGCCAGGTAACCATAGTGGGGATATATCTTCTTTACTCAGTCATGGTTTACACAAAGTAAATGTGTGGCAATCATCCTGGAATATCAGTGGCATGATTTCAATCTTATTCATCTCCAAATTCCAAATTTCATAATTCTGCACAAATTTTGATCAATTTATTTTTAATGGTACAAAGCATTTATATGGCCATCTTTCCTGTATAGCTTTGTATACTTGTTATCTGCCTTCGTAACATTCATTCAAATATGACGGTATCTTGCCCTAGTTATTCCTTACCCCAAAACTGTCAAACAGTAGCAATCCTCTTCAATAACGGTGAACATTATTTTTATATTATATTACTGCAGTGTTTCATTCATTCAATCATCATACTTTCCAATTCTGATGAATATATTCAATCATATAAACTGCCCTTTAATCTCTTGTAACAATAATAATCAATTGAATATTGAAACCTAGTAATTAGTTCCATGGTGCTCAAACATTACTGTATCTAGTTCTTCTTTTGTCATACCTTGAAATATTCATTTACCCTCTTTATAGCAAAGTTCTTCAAGTACTTAAAGATGAAGTTGAGTTCTGGTCATGCGATTGCATTGTGAAAGAAACAGTGTGGGACCGACCAGAAAAGGTTGATCATCTAGCATATAAGAATTTGTGTGTATTGCAAGGTTCTGGAATCATCAAAATGATAAGAAATTTGGCCAAGTCTTGGTAAAGTTACAAACACTTGCACAGAAAGATGTATATGGGACTACACGAACATGTGGCGTAAAAAGCCGGCCCCCCCCCCCCCCCCCGATTTTTACGATGTTACATGCATGTTTAGAATATGAAGGCATTTGAAGAGCCATGCTTTTCAGGGAACATGTCTTAACTGATGTTCTTCCACACTTGCATAATAAGAATGAGTAATGCTCACAAATTATTTTTCACCTCTTCCCAGAACTCAACCTTCTCTTTAAGAAAAGCTAGACTATTTTCTAAATTATCTTCATACTCCATTGTTGTGTCCTTCATTCTGGCATCTTATTCAGTTCTTGTCTCGTCTTTCATTGCTATCCCTGAATCTACCATGGTATTGTAGCAAAATTAAATCCCTTCATCTATTAGTCATCTGAACAAGCTATCGGAACTCCTCAAATATGATATTATCATATTCTGTGTGTAAGTCATTCATTTAAACATCTCGGTATCCAATCCTTGTTTCTTCATCTTTCGTAACCATCCGTTCACATGGTAGCAGCCTCATCATCCTCCAAACAGTCGAGTACAATAATTAAGCCTTCATGGCAATTTGATGGTAAGGAGTCAGGAATGGAGAATAGCAACCTGCATGCCATATGCTTCTAGATAACAGGTGCATTGTGGGTAGAGAAATGGGCCTGCCGAAAAATGACTGGAAAGTAGGCAAAATGATAGGAAATGAGAATGATGTCCCATCTGAATATTTTTAGAACAATCATATTTTTCAAGAATGATCTTACTGTAAACTCAAATTTCACCTAGATGAATGATGCTTGAATCCTGAAATGAAATGATAATCTAAAATCAATGGAGCGTACATTCATTAAGTTAGACTTTTGGTCGATGATCGGCTTCTGGCTTGCTGGAGATGAACGTGTTAATTTAGTCAATGACTTTATAAATGTATGGTTAACATTGATTAAAATAATATTATTCTTCATTATGAGATGTTCTGCTCATGTAAATAGAATTCTGCTACATACATTAAATATAATTAAATATCAAATGACATTTGGAGACATAAGGGATAATGAAAGTCTCATCACAAAATGCTGTATGCTGCATGGGTCATTGCATAATGAACGAGAATGCCAGATTGATAATGCTTGTAGTACATTGCAGGTCTAGCTATGATCTGTACCATTGCATTGCAGCATAGAATACATCGATTGAATGCATCTTTAATTTCATCCTGAATGAAATATCGTCTGTTCAGAGCCAGAAGGTATACAAGTTAATGCCTTTTTCGCTCCAAACATGATATGCTGAAATGTGCATCAATGTCAGTTTTTTTTCTCAAAAACTATTGTTCCAACATAATGCTCTGAAAAAATGAATAATTTTTTTGACAACTCAGTGAACAAAGACAAAAGCCATATGAATAACTGATATGAACTATAAATGTAAGCCAATTTGGTTGAACATCCGCAGATAAAAATTGGCAACTTTGAAATACCATTGTTTCAAAGAAGATACTATACAGAACAGCTTGCTATTGCATGACGTGTAAAAGGTCTTATCTAATGCTCTTATTATGTTTACGAAAATGAACTTGTCTCTCTTAAGATCTGTAACTTTGACGAAATGATCACGCCATGCAACAGCTAATGTATGCCAAGATGTAACATTCATTTCAAAAGGCAGTCAATCCATGCATGATAAAAATCAGATTTATTTAATTATTCTAGAGTTGTGATCAACTGAAGTGATATATTACAAGTGAAGATTACTCACCATAGTAAAATGATGAAGTCTTTATTTATTTGTGTCAGAGAACAAGACTTTTAATAAACTTGTTCTGTCAAAATAATGATATCCAGAAATTATACCTCAGCGGTCACCCAAGAGGCCTCTTTGGAAAATGCTCTTTAAATACTTTTAATCAGGGAACAACTCTTCCTTCAAAACTCTGATTTTACGGAAAGTTTCTTTTTAGCTAACAAACCATAACAAAGAAAATGGAATCTCTTTAAGCATGTTCTAAAAACCAAAAAAGTCTATAGACTATTGCAAATATAAAAACAAACAAAAAAAAACCCACTGATTTACTGCCTGATTAACTGCCTTTTGGAGTTTAATCTCTAAAACTTGGTATGCTTTCCTTCATGACATTTGCCTTGTAATCCCATCCTATTCTTGTGGTGTTCTGTATGATCGCCTGCAGAAGGTTACGATACGCTTCATTCAACATCCTCTAACAAGTCAAAAACAGAGGATGAACCGCTGGATAAATATAACAGTAAGTCTGAATGTTGCATGGCCACCAACAAAAATGATAGAATGATTTTTGTAATAGGCAAAACTTGATCGCAAACACTTCCAAAAAAATCAACCTAAGACGATTTCAGTACTCTTCTGTGTCGTCTGTTGAAATATGTGAACGTGACAATGACATTGTTACATAATCCAAACATTATTAGGGTATTGAAACTGCCTTGATGTCAATTTCTTGAAAGTCTTAGCGATCATGGTAAATTGTTGTACCAATACTAGAAGCTGTCTAATGGTACAACATTAAAAGTACTTGATGAGAGACAATGTTTAACTTGACATGGTTCTCAGAATACGTCCCTTATAGAAGTGTATTGCAGAAGAAATGAAAATCTTTACAAGTCTACAGTCAAATTTGAATTTGGCTTTCTTGTTATTAACTAATAACTAAGTTAATTTACGGAAATGTGAATTAATGTACCAATTCTGAAAACAGGCTTTAACTAATTTGACCCGTAACTGCTACAAAAATGTAGTATGTGCATCATGATACCAAAGATGGATGCTGCATCCTTTAACTCAAACTGCCGAAAAATAATGGAAAGAATTCTTGGCAGAAATTAGTAACCCTTTGATACATGCATGATTAAGAATTCTCCATAACATTCTAATGAAACGCATTCCAAGAGAAATTATGGTCAAAGTAAAAGCCTTTAATATGAATTTTTAGGTTGATAATTTAGATGTTTAGCTACCGGTATTTTTTAACAAATTTTTCTTAATTTGGTAATTGAAATGGCCTGAATCATCTTAGAATTACTGGTAGTTGTGTGTAAACTGAATCTTGTTGCATGTGACATTAAAGAACAAACTTTCATTGGTTTTAGGGAAATCATGGAAAATGAAATTAGATGCCAGTTAAATTGTTGATCGCCTAAAGTGCATATTACCTGTTGAGAGCCAGAAGGGCATTAACTCTGCTTAAGTTCAAGAGTTCATGCCCTGGGTCCTAGGAGGTGAATGTACTATTGTTTTGATGTCACAACAACATCTAAATACTTTGGTTAAAGGCGTCACTAGATATGCATGCAAAACATTTAGTATGTTATGATTCTAAAGTAAATATATTTTGTAATGTACTATATCATGTAAGAAAACACATACTTTTGTGACTCTATAATGTTGCTTTATTTCTTTCTTTATATGTGGAAATGAGATAGCTCAATTTCTTCCTTCTCTTTTTTTTTTGCAGGTGGGGGTGCGGGTTGGGTATGGCAAAGTATCTTAATCTTTCTAACTTTTCATAATTCTCAATGAGAGGGGTCGTAATACTTAGTCTCACCGTTTGTCTTTATAGTGTTCTCTTATCTGTCTTTTTCTATCATTATTTCATCATCTGAACTGACCCTTTTCCTTTCTAAGGTGATGCTTACGCTCTAAAGAGGAAAGAACGACGAGAACAGTTGAGAAAATATCTCGAAGGTGACATACTGTCTCTATGTTCCTTGTGGAGTGCACACCTGCATGCTCTTTGTGTATTATATTGGTCGACACCTGTAAGACTACAGCAACGTTTTGAATGCATGCAAGAAGATTTCCTACCCCAAAATTTGTTAAAAGAGCTGGATCGAGGCTGCTCAGAATTTTTGATTGGTTGATGATGTTTTTCTATCTCTGAATGTGTTTTCCTATTGATATCCTATCCTGAAATATCTCTGAACACTTTTTCTTCAAGAATGATATCTCTTTGTTTGATACAAAGCTAATATTACAACTTTATCCTTAACCAGTTCTTTTATCAACATTTCCAACCAATTCCAAAGGAAATCTTGTCTTTTTATTTCTATTTCTTTAAAGAAAATAAAGAAGACATTTATGCATGCTTTGAATGCAATATCACATTGCCAAAGCCGGATTGCGGGTCAAGTCTTGTAGCATGTGGTTGTTTTAGGAATCCTTTGTTTTGAAGGAGATGTGCTTGCTGGTTATGAACCCTTTCTGTACTGATGTTCTGGTAGTAACCTACCTGTACTTGTACGATCTAAAGTATAGCTACACATGATGGCCTTTTCCATGATATTATGAATATGTATAGTTTTATTGTGTGAATAAAAAGCAAGGTATTGTACTGACACACTACTTCAGATTTAGGTATACTGCCATCTTCCGTTCACGCTGTCCCAATTTGTTGACAACCAAGTCCCACAATGCATCAATAACTGATGACGCATGTATGATGATGTTTTAGTACAGGGACCAGAAAGTGCTCTATGTACACCTCTGCCTGTTACAAAGCATGCACTCCTTTATATTTTGTTGATAATATTGTTGAATGGTATCTAGTTTGCTTCATTAAAGTCCCTCCTTGAAATGGAAGCTTGTTAGAGTACGACAATCTGGGCCCCATTTCAGTGACAAATTACAATTTTTGTTTAAAGCTAGTGAAATCCTTGCTTCTGATTGCTTATTAGCAGATTTGTCACTGATTTTTGTCATGTTTCATTGAAAAACGGCTTTGTGAATCGGGTCCCTGGAGTGACAATTTTGCTGTGCAATTGAATTTTTTCAAATAATGATAATTTTGAATCATAAATAGCCTGACATGAAGAGTGCATGATTTTGTTTCTTCTGTTTTGAATCATCAAAGTCACAGAGGTATAAAGACAATCTTTACAACTGTTCTTATAAAAAGTGCTTGTTGAACCGAAGTGGCAAATCATTTTTTTCTCCAAATTTCAGGCATGCATGCATACTGACAGTATTCTTAATATAATTTTCTTTAACTCTGTTCTTAAAGTTCACAACTACAAAGCTTATAAATGTCTACCAAAGCACAATAGTCATACTGCAGATTCATAATTTTACTGAAACATTTGGTTTTATTTTGTCTTTTACAGAGGACACCCCCCTCATACCATCAAGATTAGACAGATCTTCATCAACCATGTCTACAGACTCAACAGAAAGTAAGTCAACTTAATGCTTTAACTCAAGATAATTTGTGATAATACCTATATCGGAAATGTTTGTGAAATAGCATGATATGGTAGATTGCATGAAACGTTTTAATTAAGAATAACTTGCCAGCTTCATAGTGAAAAAACAACATTACATTGGTTGTATTAATTTGCAAATATACAGTGCAAGTGTCTGAATTGTGTATTAAAGATATCTGGTTAACAGAACTTTGAATGTTTACAAAACAATTATCTCAACCTTTGAAAATTCTTTGAATTGGAGGGTTTCTCAGTTATTTATGTGATAACAAGCATTAATTCACTAGAAATCATTTTGATAATACCGTATTTGCCGGCGTAAAGGCCGCACCGCCGTATAGGCCGCACCCCCGATTTTGACATTTAAAAAAAAAAAAAAAAAAAAAAAAAAAAAAAAAAAAAAAAAAAAAATCGTTTTTTTTTTGTTTTTTTTTTGGTTGTTGTTGTTGTTTTGTTGCCGAAAACCCACGCGGGGAAGGACCTTCATTTAACATCGAGGTGCAGTTAAAGGCGCTGATTTGTGCTTGTAAACTTGTCACAAAATAATAGTAACAATGTCGTTTTTAGAAGAATGTGTAAGATCATTAATGTGAATTAAAAACAAAAGAGTACTAGGTCCTAGGATAGTACCTTGTGGAACACCATTTGTTATATAAAAAAAATTGAGGAATTATTATTATAAACTACATATTGAGATCTATTAGAAAGATTACTTTCAAACCAAGATGACAGACAAATTTTAGTGTTGTTGTAGTTTCCGAGTGGTGAGTCAACAATGATTACTGAGCTGGGAGACATTGCCAGGCATAGCGCCATAAATCAAAACTAAAAAAAAAAAAAAAAAAAAAAAAAAAAAAAAAAAAAAAAAAATCTTTTTTTTACTCTTTCGCCGCATAGGCCGCACCCCGACTTTTTGATATTTTTTCTTCCAAAAATACTGCGGCCTATACGCCGGCAAATACGGTAATCCATATATTTTTTTCTCTGATTTGATCAGGTTCAAGAACATCATCCTCAAGAAGAACAGACACAACACCAAGCACAGCCGTGGATGTCTCATCTGGAAGTAAGAACCTCTTTCCTAAGTAAAAATGATAATGTTAATGGAGTAATTCTGAGCTATTTAGTCACATACGTTACCAGAGATGCCAACCCACCCTGATTATCAGGAAGGCTCCCTGATATACGTCTCTCCACACAAATTTGAATGCCTCCCTGGTTGTTTGAAAGATTAAACCTATTCTGCTGTATGCAATTGATAGAGACCTCCCTGATCACGGAATGAATCCTCCCTGAAAGCTGAATGTAAAGGTTGGCATGTCTGACTTTACTGACCACATCTAAGAATCCAGTATATATAATGGTTGTATGAGGCTGAATGCCCTACTAGAGCTTGAGTCAGACAAACTGCAAATAAAATGATATTTTATGTTGATTTACCTTTACAATTCCACAATATAATTCAGTAATACTTGGTGACATATCTTGGGCTTGCCGTATTGCAAATGCTGTACAGATATTGTTCACTGTGCAACTTATTAGCCTATGATTATTTTTATAGTAAGAATTTATCTGTCCATTCACTCTCCGAACAGCCCCGGATTGTTAATGCAATATAGCAGCAATTAGCTCTTGGAGTAAATGATGATGTCTCTTTGTAGTTGTTTAAAGCTCTGTTTTAAATTTACTTATCCAATATATTTTTTCATGAAAGATCTATTGGATATACAAATATGTGTTATGAAAAATATCTTTTTGTTTCAGGTGTATCATACAGAAGAAGAAGGAATCGAGATACAGACTCAGAATCAGTCGCATCTACAGGTATGTCAATGTTTAGCCACCATTAGTGTCGTAACCTAACATAGAATGATTGCAGGTCTGTCTGCACTCATCAATAGTGATCTGTCAGTTCATGACAGGTTCAGTGGCCCATTAAAAATTCCATATCAAGTGTCTCTCCAAGCCCCTCTCCAAGTTCCTCGGTCTTGAGCTAACCGTTTCATCGTCTCATACCCCATCGCTCCACATTGTGTGATTACATCGTCTAGAAAGCCTTTACGAGGTCTTCCCCTCTTCTTCTTTCCATGAATACGACCTTCTATGACTCTGAGCATCAAGCCCTCATCATGCCGCATTATGTGTCCAAGCCATTTCTTCTGTCTCTCTCTAATCGTTTGAATCAGCACCCGCCTTTCTTGAGCTGGATGCAACACCTCTTCATTCGACACTCTGTCCCTCCAAGACACACCTAGTAATTTGCGCCAGCACCACATTTCGACCGCCTCCACTCGCTGCATGTCCTTTTTAGTGAGTGTCCACGTCTCAGCCCCATACAGCAGTACACTCCATTCTAGAGACTTCACAAGCCGCTTTCTCAAACTAAGGTCAATGTTGTGGCTCATCAAGATATCCTGTCTTTGAAAGAAGGCAGCTCTTGCAAGAGCTGAGCGCAAGTTGACCTGTCCAATCTGTCCAATCTAAAATACCAAATCAGTGTACACCGTATCCTATGAGTATTGGATTAATTATTACATTGCCCAACATAGCAACAACAAGTGTTGGGATATCTTATTAATTTTATCTCTGAATGTATTTTTGCAAGCGTTTATGTAATAACCTTTTTAGCATTGCTATATGTTGTTTCATGTAAACTGATTAATGATAATGACAATACCCAGCGATTCTCTTATACATACATTTATATACCATATGATAATTGAATAGTTTGTCACCTGCAATTCTATTCAATGAAATCCTTTTTCTCTTTTCTGGTCTATTCTAGATACAACTGAAACCAAGAAAGATGAACCAACTATGTGTAAGTAGAATATTCAAGTGATTTCATATTACTGTCTTGGTAATTTTTTGAAAATTTAAACAAAAGTGTAACTACACATATTTTCTTGTAATGCTACTCCTCAGTATCAGCATCTTTTATTAAGTTCATATCCTCAACTACATTTGCCTTTGAATAAAAACCAAATGGGAATACACCCACATTTAACTCTAAAGGTGTAAATATGTCCTAAACTGTAGGTGTGCATCAAATATGAATATTAATACAAATACAGTTCAGTATGTACTGTCGTCTCTTGATGGAGACGTTTGAAGCCGCGGTGAATAATAATAAACTAGTACAATGTGTTGATACAGTAGACAGGGATACAACTTTGTGGGATTATTTGATGAATTGAGATAGTGATGGAATATAAAGCATATGAGGCTAGTAACATGACATTTGACCTTCGACCCTTTTCTCCCTTAGCTGCCTATGTTCCTAGGTCTAGGAGGAGAGCTGAAGTCGTTGAAGAGAAAACCCCAGAAGAGAAACCAGCAGACAAACCAGCAGAAGATAGTAAGTGTAATCAGTCTAAGAGATGTTTCGGTCAAATAGTTTTCACACATAGGAAAAAATTTTGTCAATCTTTATTAAAAGCAACAATGGAAGCTGGACTTCTACTCTCCTGATGAAAACATTGATATAGATGGATACCTTTCTGGAATAACTACCAAAAGATATCTACCTTCTAGATGACTACTCCTGGGCCTGTTGCATGGAACTTACCACTGATGGTAACTTTGTTATCACTATTAACTACCATGACAACATCACTCAACAGCCAGTCAAATAAAGGTTTCAATGGAAGTTACCATTGATGGCAAAGTAATACCATCAATGGTATTGTTTTATACCACAGGGCCCGGACTATATTCTGTCATATTTTGATGCAACTTAATAAAATCATGTCAATGACTGTCCTGATCTCAAGCTGTGCTGTTTCTTTAATTCAAATAAAAATATTCAGACTTTAGAAAAAAATACAAAATGACAAATATTTCTGTTCCTCCACTTAATCTGATCTGTATTTTCCATTGTGCAAATAATCTTTATTTCTCAAAGCAAACAATGTAGAGTATTCTAGTTTTGATTTCTAAAAACAAAGTTTAATAGGTAGTTCTTCTATCTTATGATAAGCTAGTTATTTCCTTTCTTTGGCTCAATGAAAAAGTTATTTTTAAATTGAAAGGTGACAGTTCTGCAAGCAATACTTCTACTCTCCTCTTTATCATGCATTCAAATGACAAGGCAATGAAAACATTAATATTTATCGTACAGAAGTAAGACGACGTGTCAGGTTTAGTTTTGCCGATGATGATGATGAAGGGGATGGCTCTGCAGGTATAACTTTTATCTTTTCAACAACTACAAAATCAAATGATAATATCACATTTCTTCAAGTGGCTTTCATGTGCTTCTGCTTTTAAATCTCAAACAATTTTATTTCTAATAATCATCATTCAATGATTATATTATTAATTCAACTGACTTTATTCGGTTAACCTTTGCTTGCATCCACTCTTTACTTTGATATAGTCATCTTACATATTTATACTTCTTTTTTGCTCTCATGTATTTAAAGATCATATTTCCCTGACTTTGTACTTCATTGTCATTTTCGTTGTGACCTGATTTAAAAGTATCACAGGACGGTTCTTTCTGTGACATTTATTGTTTACATAATGCATCCTTAAAAAACAACTTTTCATCCATATAAATACTTATAGTAATATTTTTCATTTAAGCAATTTATTGTTATTATCAATGCTTCATATTTTGAAGTTACATATTCAATTTTTTTATCATAACTGCTTGATATTTATGTCATTTTTTCCCTTTTTATGGGGATATATTATATATTTATTTCCTTGGATATTCCTTATGCATGTCTTCTGTTATGCTTCCCGTGTTTGTACCGGTATTTATCGGTTGTGGTGTTGTTTGGTAAGGGTTTCGTACGGCTATTGTTGGGGGGTGGGGGGGGGGGGGGGTTCTGAGTGTTCCCAGATATTCACTTTGGTCCATTTTGATAACGGTATGAAATATGAATTTCCTGCATTCTTGGATAAACAGTGATTCACTGTGAGCCAGAAAAGCAGTAGCACTTTTCTAGATGGTACGGTTTAATGAGCAAATGTCACTGTTAAAGTGTAAGCGGCTTTTCTTGCCTTTTGAATCACGTAAAGGCCCATCTTTGAGCATGCCGTATAGAAGCAGGAGGCGCCGATTGCTCGATGATGATGCAACAACTAAAAACACTACCAATCAGGAATGTGAGTGGTTGGTTTGACCCCAAGGCATGACCCCTGTGTGACCCCTGTATGACCTCTGTATGACTCTTGTTTGACCCCTGCATGACCCCTGCTTGACCTCACAATTTCCTAGTTTCCAGAGAGAGCTGAGCATTTTGTGCCTTCAATCCAGTCCGCTATACTTCCCTCTTCCATAACAAATTTCAAGTTTATAGCATGTCATTGCAATACAAATCACTTAATTCCCACTTTCATGTAAAATTATAAACTAACTTCAAGCCAAGAATATTTTTATGTTTTACAAAAACAATATTGAATGTTATTTTTGATGTTCTTTAAAGCTGTAATAAATGTCATTTGTTGCAATTTTTTAAAGTACAATACATGGAGCCATTATGTAATTATGATTAATTATTTAGTTAGACTCAAACCCTGCTCATATGAATGTGGAATCAGTTTATAGCTAATAACCGTTTCCTTAGACTTTAGTCCAATAGCAGATACAAGTTTTAGGTAGGCGTCTGTATTAACTTGCCTCAAGTATGAAGTACATTGTAGATAGCTTTAATAAGCCTAGACAGGGGTTGAATATTTCACTTTAAGTTTCACCTTGAATTTGAAATTCATTTGTAGTTCCTGCAGAATATTTAAGTCTTTTTATTAGTGAATGATTTTTAAAGGAAAATTTGGTAATTCGGTAAATACAATTTTTTAGTGAAATTACGTTTTTTGTTTAAAAAATTTGTTGCATGTGCATGTCACATAATTCCTGTGAAAGAGATTGGAAATATTATATAGTTATAGAGCTTTCAGTTACATCTTTGGGTGAGACTTTAAATCTGCATTTGCCACTCCTTTTCAGGAGACAGCGTGCATGTGCATTGTGTAAATATGGTAGGAATGCTTCCCGTAGAAATAGGGATATTGACTTGAAAGCCAGTCAAAAGCATGACATCATGCTCATAAGGATTGTGCAGAGCAGTGCTTCAAACAAATATTGTACCTATATAGAGCTTATTGGTCATCATTAGTAAAGGTGTTGTGGTCTAGAGGATACATCACCAGACTGTGGATCACATGGTTCATGGTTTGAGTCTCTCTGCGGCACCAATGTAGACTTTGGGAAGGCATTAAACTACATTTGCCACTCTCCATCCAGGTGTAGTGAATGGGTACCTGGTTGGAATTTATTTCTTGAATGCTTTGAGCACCCTAAGGCAGCTTGGCTAAAGCCAGGGTAATATGTAACAGTGTTTTGTAGGTACCTTGAACCTCCCCTTTGGATGGATAGATGCATATAAGTGCATCTATTTAAGTTATTATCCTCATCACCATCATCATCATTAGTAAGAGATCATTTCTCCTCTTCACAGCATCAAGCACAAAGTCCTCTGAGAGAACACCAAGAGATAGATCTACATCTGAGTCTTCAGATAAAACCGTTGAAAACAAGGAGTTAAAGAAACCAGATTGTGAGTTAGGCATGGATAGCATGGCATGGAAAACATTAACCCTCAGAATGCCAGACTCATTTATGAAACTACAAATGATTATAACCTTCAAGACCTAAGACTTTATATCAATATATATATATATATATATATATATATATATATATATATATATATATATATATATGATGTGCATGAAGTGCGCATATAATGATGTTCCACTCTGCAAAATGCATTTGATCTTTAAACCCCTCTCCCAGATATGATCCAAAGTTAAACTGCTGCATGCACTTTAAGTTCCGCTGCTCATTCATTTTGAAAGCTGCGCCCTTCAGTACAGATGTGTTGCTTTGCAAACAGGATCTGAAAGAAAATGGTATCAGCTCTAATAAAAAAAACTTGAATTAGGAAACTATATATTTACTAAAATGATATGAGTGGTACAACACATCACACCTACGATTTTCAGATGTTGTTTTAATAAGGATGTGTAAAATCTGTATTCAAAGTAACATTAAAATACATTACCGGTATGCAAGTCCATGCTCTAACTTGTGCACCAGTAACCCTTATCAACATTACAGTTTAAGGTATCTCAACTCCTTCTCTTCTCACTACCCATTACAAAGAAAATGAAATACATGTTGCTTTATCTTATCAATTTCCTCAGACAAATATCTACCAGCAACCATATGCAAAGAGAAAAACAATCCTTAGTCTTCACGTGTTAGTTATATTAGCATTAAATGTAGAGCTTTCCAAACCTCTTTGATACCTGCTTTTTTGCATGTTTTTTGTGTTTGTTTATTCTTGTACTTTTTTGCTCATTATCAGATTGTTTGTTTCAGCAGCTATGTTTCAGATAAATGTTTTCATTTTTTTCTTTCACATTGTACATCAATTGACAGTTTCAACGAACCCCTTACTGTATGTTTGTCAATTAGTTTTCCTAGAAACTTTATCTCTTTAATAAGATGCATGCTTTTTAGTCTCATAATTTGTTCGCAGTACAAATGGAAAGGGCACTATTTGTTTACCTTAAAATAATGGTTTCAACAATAGTAATCTTGTCCTTAATTTGTTTCTTGAATCGGTTCACCTGAAATATAGTTTCACATAATCTACTTGTATTTCCTTATGTATATATTAATTGCATGAAAGTTATTAAAACATATTCTTTTAATTGTTTACTGGTGACTCTAAATATTTGATTATAAGTAAATTGCATGTATACCTGTCTCCATTAATAACTCTTAAGCCCACCGCACACTACGATCTGAATACAATCCGATTGAGGAAGAATTTGCATTAGCATTTGATATGAGTACTTAAACGTGTAAAATCTTAATGACAGAGGATTTGAATAGTCATATGATAAAGAAATTATACCTGAATGAAATTTTAGCTAACATTGAGCCTCATTACAATCTCATATGCATTGTCCAATACAGTGTGGTTCTACCTCAGTGAGATAAAATTATGATTTTCAGCAATTATGCAGGTTCTGTTTCCGGATGCGTCTTTTCGCGCCCCTTCATTGCGCTATAAAGCTACCTAAGGAAAGCAATTTGAAATTCAGCTGTGAAGGTACTTCATATTCCTTTAAAGACCACTGTACAATCAGAACCACTTATCATGCTACTCTTGGTCTTCCCTTTAGATCTAACGAATGGTATCGCTGCTCGTAGGAACAGACGAGAGGAAGCAGATAAGGATGAGAAGATGGAGAAGGCATCAAAGGAGAAAGAAGAGAAGGCATCGAAGCAAGCAAAGAAAGACGCTGACTCCAGATCGGCTAATATGATATTAAATAAGCTGAGAAGTGGTGATGTGAAAGCAAAACCAACTGAGAATGGAGACATTTCAAGGCCTGATGATGAAACATCTAGTAGACATAGGTGGAGAAGAGACAGGGGAGGTATGACACATCTTTATCTTTTCCTTTCATTTTGGCTTCTTTTGATTTAAAAAATATATATATTTCTCTCTTTCCTGATTAATACGTAGTCCTTATATGTTTTACCCATAGTGTTCTTTTCTGTTTTTAATGTCATATGTCACTTGTACTCATTTCTTGCATTTTTCCTCTTCTTCTTTTATTTTTATTTTTGTATTATTCTCTTACGTTTTACACATATTCTATAATTTTCTTCTGTTCTTCTCTCATTTATCGCTTTATAATACTAATTTTGTTTATTCCCCCCCCCCTGTATATAACTTCCTAAATCTATTGCAAAATGTTGTAAAATATGATATATCCTGTTCATGTTAAGAAAGGAAATATTTTGGTAAAGTAATAAATGGTACCTAAAATTATTTATCTACATTTATTTGAATGAAACCTTAAGTCTGTGTTTACTACAAACCATTAATATAACTTTGAATACTTTAAAAGATTTATAAATTCTTCTCACTTCAAAAATGTTTTCTGTGTTTAGAGTGTGCTCTATTCAGTCTCTTTAGTTATTGTTGTTGCTTCGTGAAGTACTCAACTAAAGAACGATGTTCATTACAGGAATTGATTTATGAAGTGTTATTAGTAAAGTTTGTTTGTCTTAATATCATACAAGATGCAAAAGAGAAACCAGATGAGACCAAGGTGGTGAATGGTGACATTTCTTTAGTGCATAAACCAAAAGAAGCAGTAGAAACCAAGGCAAAAAATGAGAGCAGGGAACCAGTCAAAGACAGCAAGCCAGCAGACACCAAAGATGAAGAGAAGAAACCGGAAGAACCGAAGAAGAGAACTTTTATTGGTTTGTATTCGTACCTGTTTATAAAGACCTGTCTGTTCAGGAAATGTTGAAAGTGGCCGCTGTATAAAACAAGTTGCAGTATAGAGAGGATCTTTGTTAAAGATGAATGTATGCAGACAAGCCTGTCTATGAAAGGCTAATCAAAGTGAATGGGAAAATTGTATGACTAAAGAAATGGCAAAGAAAATGTTGCATCTTCTTCCAATTTTGATGCATTGTACATTATTTCTCTAGTGACAGGTGGCCTTTATATTCATGTGACCAATATAACATGAGTATATTTAAAAATAACCTTTAGTTCTGATTTGTTATGAAATGATTTTTTTTTTTCTCGCAGATTCCATCAATATTTACAGTGAATTAGATTACATGTGCAGTAGAACATAATTGATTCTTATAAGGGATGTAGTATTTGTAAGGATACATGTATCTCCATTATAAGATAATTCAGTGTGTTGTTTAGTTCCAATCTAATACTCCAATAACATATGTCAACTTTTTTTCTTTCTCTTCCTCTCTCCTCGTAGTTAAAAAACCGAAAATCATAATAGATGAATCAGAGGAGAAGTCAAAAGAGAAGACATCAAAGGAGAAGGTAAAAGAGGACATGCCAGAGGGGAAGGAAAAAGGGGAAACGGAGAAGAAGAAGAAAGAGGAGAAGAAGAGAGAGGAACCAAAGGAAGAGGAGAAGGAAGAAGTTGTTGTGCCTTTGACACCAGTTGTAACAGATACTAAATCTGCTGTCAGGACTACAGACAAAAAAGATGAAGCACCAAAAGAGATTGTTGAGAATGAGAAGGCCCAAACTGATCCGTCAGATCGCGGGAATTTATTAACCGTGAAGACTAGCGATCAGGATGAGAATGGTTCATCGGATGTGAAGTCACGGAAGATATCGACTACCTTGCAGAATGTGAAAAAATTGGAAGAGCGCAAGGCAGACCTGCTGGTGGTGAAAGAGAAAGAGGAGGAGGAGGAGGGTAAGAAGGTACAAGAGGACAAGGAAATATTGAATAATAGTGGTGCTGTGCAGTCCATGCACAAACAGTTACAAGCGCAACAAGACAAATCTGAGGATCAGAAGGAGAAAGAGAAGGTGAAGGCCGGGCCGCGTGGTGATGTTAGTGGTAAGATCAGTCAAGCCATTGAGGGTATGAAGGTGAGTAATGTGGCTCCTAAAGCCTCGGAACCGGTAACTCCCATTGAGGATGAGGGCAAGCAAGAGGAGGAGGCATGGGAGGAGGTACTCAAGCTTAACGATCGGGAGCTAAGGATTAACAAATGGGATTTCACTGATCTGTGTAGAGATGACGATAAGGATGTCCTCAAGTCGATCCCTTTGATGATGGGTATGGTACCGTACATGACCCTTCCTGATGGTGCTCCACCGCCACCACCACCTCTTCCTGGTCTAGGGATACCCCCACCACCCCCTATCCCCGGTGCTCCCCCTCCACCACCACCACCTGCCATGAAGGGTCCGGGGGCACCTCCACCACCCCCAATCATTGACAGTAACACCTTCCCCAAATCCAAGAAGAAGAAGACTGTACGCCTCTTCTGGAAGGAGACTCAGCCAGAGACGATGACGCTGGGAAGAAACGGCATGAAATCTACCATCTGGACTCAGCTGGACGACGTTAACATCGACAGTAAGAAGCTGGAGCATCTCTTTGAGTACCGAGGAAAGGACCTCATTACAAAGGTATGTCTTAACGTATCCAGTCATAGGAAGCAACCATGCATAACAACTCCTTCAAGAAAGTAGAAAGTAGACAATGTACATTTGAAAAATGCAACAAGGCTAAAATAGAAGCAAAAACGCTGAATAGAATTTATAGAGGGTAATTTATAGCTATATCAAACGCTGTATGAGAAATATAGATAAATGAAGCTTTATTATGCTGCAATATGAAGCCTGAAACAGCCAGGATTACTGATTATGAGAAACATAAAGCAAACTTGTACACAAGAAGCTAATTATCCCTCTCAACTATTGAGATATCAAAGAGAAACATGTGCATTGCATGCAAATCTTGAATGCAAGTTATGAATGTAAACCCTAACCTTAATTCAATTGAAACATGGCATAGCTAGGCATGGATAAGCTGTGTAAATAGACTCACAACAAAATGTTTTATATATAGCATGTCAAGAAAATATGCATCAGTTCTAACTCAATATCTATAGTTTAACGGTTTAACAGATCTTCTGTAAAGCAAACAAGCTGTAAAAGAATAATCAGGTCGTGAAGAACAAATCTAAAAAAATCTCAATCATTTTTTTAACAATTTCCTTTTAGTATATTAATTATGACATACCTATTGGAACAATTAAGAAGATTTCTGCACTTGATCAAATATAGGTTTTTCAATATCCTTATAATTGTGTTGTTTTATCAATATTATATTTTTATGAATTTATAATTGTATTAACTTGTTTATACTTGAATCACATGTGTTGTTTTTGTGTTAATGTTGGTGTAGTTTATCATTTTTGGAGGCAGAAAACTTGTTAGGATTTATACATCAGAAATTGGAGAACAGTTTTTGTTTTATTGCCATAAAATATATTTTCATATCATTTGTGTTGAATTATATGAGCTTGTAAATCAATTTTGCAATGACTATCACAAAGTGTTGAAGTCCTTGGTATATGCATTATCCCTCCCCCTTTAAAATCATATGCTATGATGCATACTCCTTGTATATTTCACCTCAAAGCTTATTTGAGCTTACCAATCTTTTTTTTATAGCAAAATCAGTAAAACTCATATATATTGAGAGCAGGAAAAAAATTTAGAATAGGCATATCAAAACAAGCAAATTAGCTAGCAACTAAAATGCGAAACTTATATAAGGTGGGAAAAAGGCAGCAAAATTTTCATTTAGTTTAGTGGGAGCAGCCAATTTTCTTATACTTTAAAGACATAAGTTTTTTGCAAAGGCTTCCTTGTATAATTTAAAGCCCACATACAGTGATAGAAAGAGGTACAACAAGCAGGATATACAGTGCAATTCTATTTTTCTCTTGGAAGTAGACAATTTCCAACATGAACCAACTGTTAGAATAGCTGAATTGCCATTAAACCAGAGTTCAAAGAAAGAAAGAAAAAAGACCAGAGCAAAATGTTGGGGTAAATCCAAGAAATCTGATTCTTTCACCCCTTTTTGTATTATTACTTAACTTCTGGAAGGATAAGACAGGAGTGTAATAGAATTGTATCTTGTTATTCTTTTCAAAATAAAAGGGAAAAATATTCATTAGAGGAAGGCTGTACATGGGTTTTAAATCTGAATATAAATTTCAGCCCCGGCAATGCATTGTTTTGGTGCCATTAGGCCCTCAAACATATATATATCAATAAGGAATGGAAACTACAAGTATATACCCTATATGTTGTGTCCCTGAATACATTTTTGCAGCCGTTACCTCCAAATATAAAAGGACTCTCTCTGTTGTGAGGCAGAAGGGTATTGACTTGTATCGTTTGACGCAGAGATAATGCCCTTCTAGCTTTCAACAGAGGACTTCTTTTTGTTGAACTTATGGTAATAAGGTCTTTTCAATTGAGTCGATTTGAACGCATTCTAGTGCAGAGGGCATGTGCGCACTCATGTAGTTGACATCCCTTGTTCACTTCCCTTTGAAACGGTTTCGATTTCAGTCAGTGCTTGCTTGCGGCACTGGTGAACATGATGTGTGCCACTTTGAAATGAGATCAAATCATGTACTGGTACAGCTAGCTAGGTACATACTATTGCTATACACAACAGCATTCTAGATTGTGGTAAACATCAAAACCGAGGGGAACACGTTTTCAAATTCTGGTAGCGGACATGGTAACCATCATTGTGCAGTTCACTATGTCGATGTGACAATCGAAAAGCCCTTATTACATGTATATGCGGCCTGTAGCATGGACAAGTTCAAAAGTTATAGGCATGATATTACTGCCTGTTTAATACTAACACTCCCATCTTCTTCCCTCTTCTCCCCTCTTCTCCCCATTTCTTTTTATGTTCTGTTCTTATGTTTTGTCTTGCACTGGCTGTCATAATTTATTTTGTTTGATTCTTGTGGAAACAAAAATAAAAACATTCTGCTGCCTTCAATGCAACGCACGTGTGCACATACACTTGGTGTTCAACTGCTACTACAAATACTACTTCTACTACTTCTGCTACAATTATTCTTCCACAGCCCAATCAGGTTTGTTCTTTTATGTTTTGATTTAAGCCCCAGTCCCAAGTTTCTTATAATGACTTTTAAAGGGAGGACATATGGTCTTTCATCTATAGCAACATGTCAAATTGGTTGAAAATAAATTGTGAATTCACTCTGTCAGAAAAACATATTTCAATGATTCTGGAATTAAAAAATGAACACCATTGCTTTAATAATAACAGAAATTCGCTGTTTTGTATTTCACGAAGTTTTTGTCTGACAATTTCTTTACAAATTATACAGAAGGATAACAGAAAATTACTAAAACACTAAGTGTTTGTTTTATTGGTTATCTTTATTTCCCAAACAATTTAGATGGACATTTAATATTGATAATAATGATGTTCATTTTTATAGTGCTCTTTTCTGAAAAAATTAAAAACTCAAGGTGCCATGAGAGAAAACATTGTTGAGAAGTCGCTTTGATTATCTGTCATTATAAGTTACCTTGGGACTGATTCTTTATTTCTTTATTCATTTCAATATTTATTTGTTTTATTTCTTTATTCATTTGAATGTTTATTTGTTATATTTCTTTATTCATTTCAATGTTTATTTGTTTTATTTCTTCATGTTTATTCACATGTTGGTTTAATAATGTTGATTTATTTGTAATTTTTGTTTTTGTTATTTCTTTATTATTATTTTACTACATTCAGTTTTTGAAATCGTTTAATTTGTTTGCACCAAAATGAATGTCATAACATGAACTAATAAACTTTGAATGCCACATAATAATAATTTTAATTAAATAATAAATTTAACAAGAAAATCGTATTCTCTAAGGGTCACGGTTTTCAGTGTGACAACTTTTTTTGTTTAATGTGAACATTTATGCTGTCTTTCTCCAGAAGAATCAACAACTTTTCAACGTGTATTTGAATTTCTACTCTAATGTTTATTCATTTATTTATTTTCAAGAAAAGTTTTGGGTTTTTTATTGCCGTTTTTTAAATAATGTTTGTGTGCGGATACGATTTCTGTATTGTTTTAAATTGGTAAAGTGTATTCCATTGCCCCATCTTGAAAAATAATCCTAACTGATCCGAATTGATCTTCTATCAGTCACAATTCATTATATTTTAGGACTGATTTATTTACTGACCACCATTTTGGATCCAGCAGATACCTTTAAAAGATAGCTGAATATTATCTTTACCAGTTTAAAATAATGCAGATGCTGTTTCTGCCACTGTAATTATATTTCAAGAATACTTACAGTGATTAATATTTTTCAAAACCTACTATTTAAGTGTTTATTGATGTTTGTTAGGAAGAGGTTTTTGGTTTTTATTGCAGTTTTTGAATTGTTTTTTCTGTAGATATGATACATTGAATCAATATTTGTTAACCCTTTTTCAAAATAAATATTTTTGAATGGTGAACATATATTTTGAAATATTCTAGAAAAGTAAATTCATTCAAATACAATGTTAGTATCCTCATATTACAGAGATAACATGGCAGCCTTTATCTTTAATATTTTATTCACCAATAACAGTCTTTATCAGGAACATATATATCCTCCATAATGGTATTTATGCTATGAAAATGACATTTCCAATTCAATAACTTATCGGATTCATTTCAAAGCTAGCAGGTTCACATATTATTAGTATCATATCCAAACATGGGAGATGAATAGTGTAAAATCTGTTTGAGAATTTTTAATAAGAGGGATAAGTTTTTGACTTATGAATTGTAGATTTTGTAAGAGCTTTATTGCAGATGTAAGTTTATATAAAGTTTAATCAATAAGTCTTTGAAAGGTATTAAGGCAACCCATGTTTCACTGTTCGAAAAGCTGTAAAGGGCATAAAAACTCATCAAAAGATGTTGTTGTTTTTATTTTAAAAATCACACATGAGAAATTGTAAGAAAGGGAGATTAAAGAGTGGATGAAGTAAATTGTTAATGAAAATGACAAATTCTAAAACCAGACTTTCTACTGCCTTTGAATATACAGAAAGCAATGGAGGCAAACAAGAAGAATTTCATCACAGTGCTAGATCCTAAGAAATCCAACGCAATCAACATCGGACTTACTGTACTGCCCCAACCAAGGTCCATCAAACAAGCTATCTTGAACATGGATAGTATGGTCATGAACAAAGAAGGCGTGGAGGTGAGTTTTAAGAAGAGGTGGGGAGGGAGGGGTAATAGAAGGGAAGGGGCTGAAGAGAGAATACAGGAGGAATACAACCCAGGTCTATTAAACAATCTATCTTTATAAAGGGTGAAAACAGGAAGAGAGAGAAAGAGGGGAGTGGTAGGGGAGTGAGAGATAAACAGGGGAAGGGTTTGGTGGAATAGGAGACGAGAAAGTGAGAAAGAAGGAGAGAGAGACAAATAAATTGCTCCCCTTTTGTCATTAAATGATCACAAGGGAACTACATTGAACAGACAAAATATACAGTAAAATAAAACACGAATGTACCGGTATGCTTAATAGTTATATTTGACTTTCTCATCTCTGTCTTCTTTCAGAAACTGTTGAGTATGGTTCCATCAGAGGAAGAAGTTGCTAGGATACAAGAAGCCATGTTAGCTAACCCTGACGTACCTCTTGGCTCAGCAGAGCAGTTCCTTCATATGTTATCCACCATCAGCGGCCTGGAAGCAAGACTCAATCTCTGGCTCTTCAAAATGGACTATGACAACATGGAAGAGGTGAATAAGATATATATGTTCAATCTTTGGGCCTGCCTTCTTAAGACTTGATTCGTAGTGATCACAAATCCTCCAATCAATCACAATCTTACAAAGTCCTATCTCTGTAGCTTTGAGTTGTGATTGTTATCAAGTTATGTCCAAATTGAATCAAGTGCAACTGTTGATAAGATATCACCAAGACCATGTTCTGAATTCAATGCTCATATACATGTATTTCTAATTCTACATTATTTTTGTTTGTTTTTGTTTTGTTTTGTTTTCTTGGATGATAATAACATTTTCTGTTATGTATTTGATACTCCAGGGTACTTATAATATCAGTTAGGTCATTATCTTTGTCCAATGATTTTCCCCTTACATCAAAGATTTTAGTTTACCTGGCATTTCCTTTCAGTCGATAGTATTAGAGCTTATCTGCATTGTACACATCAAATAAAATGATAATTCCATTATAAATATATGTTAATTATGCCATTGTAATCCAGTGTGTATGATTAATGGAAAATAAAACATAGCTGTATTGCCTAATCTCTATATTGATGAGTGTTTTGCTCAATGTGTTGAATTGTTTACTTATTCCTGTACACATGAACTTGGACATAAATACAGATAAGATGTTACTTATTGACAATGTTTTATGGAATATCAATCCTTACGTTTTACATTATTGGTCTATTGCAAGACAAAGGGCTCACAAAGCTTGGTGAAATTGGTTCTGTTTTGGGCCCTTTGCATCTCCTAACATGATGATGATCAATGATTGTTTTACCTGACTGCTAAGAAAGCATATATATGCTTGTAAGTAAGAAACCAGGGGACCAACGGCTTCAATTCCTATCCGAGGGACTTGGTAATGAGGATTAATGCATTACCAAAGGGCATGATTGCATTGACTTGGTTTTGAACCCAGTAACAAGACCACTGGTCTAACACTGAGCCATGGCGCCTAACCCACGATCATCTCTCCATCTTGGTTTCTTTCTTCTCTGCCTTACTTCTGGTCTCTAGGAAGTAGCGGAACCAATGGCTGACCTGAAGAAAGGGATAGAAGACCTGAGAGCGTCCAAAACTTTCAAGAAGATCTTATCAACCTTACTTGCCATCGGAAACTTCTTGAATGGTGGAAGAGTAAGTCTTTTCGACCTCCTTTGATTTCATTTTTATCTTGTAAACCTTTGTTAATATAATTTACCTCAAGTAGCAGTTATGCGAAGGGATTTGTATGTTTCATGACAGACCATATCCATAGGAGCCCTATTTTTGGTGTGTTCCCACCGATTAAAACCTTGGTAGTCATATAAGTTAGGGTATGATTTTCATGTGTTCAGTGTTTTTGTTGACATTTGTCTACAAAATGACCAAGCTGAAAACTAGATATTTCAGGTGTACTAAATATCTACAAGTTTGAATTTTTCCCAATGCTCTATCCCAGAATGAGACAGCCTTCCAGCAAATGTAATGCTTGCTGAGGCATCTAATTCCCATGTCCCGTAACAAAATTTCTTGTCTTTCTCACACCGCTTGTAATCTTTTGTTTATCTTCGTGATAGGCTACATAACCCTTTCAAGATTGCCAGAAGAATAATTTTAATAAGAAGATCGGTGCCCAATTTAATCAGTGTTTTGTAAAGTTCCTTGCCGTGCAAACTATGGCCATTCAAACATTTCACCAAAGTTTCAAAAAAATTGGTTTTACATTATATTCATGAAAATGTGATATGTTTCATACTCAAAACAATTTTTCTCCCTTTTATCCATTTGTTACTTTCAGACTGTACGTGATATCAAGTATTTAAGTATAAAGTCCTGACATAGTCAGGAAGCATGCAATGTACATCAGGGCTTGACACCATAGGGGTCTCACTCTAATGCTCACAGATGTTGGTGAACCTCTTTTGGATAAAAAAAAAATAACCCCAAACATGAGCAGTGTCGAGCCCTGTGTACATTCATTGTTTGTTTTTTCATAAAATAATAATAAATTTCGATAATGACATAAAACTGTTATACATGTTATGCTTAAACTTAAGTCTTCTTTCATTAAAAATTTGTAGTGGTACAGTATACATAATTTATGTTTATACAAGTGCATTTAATATGCAATGCAGGGAAAGTCACAATCAGATAATGAACTTGTCAAGTTCATTATTAGGCCAATTGTGACTTAACCGAGTGCATTGCATATCACTATAAAATGCACAAGCTTCAAAGCTTGAATTATTTTTTAAATAAAACGGATCAGTAATATGAATATAAAAGTTGAGTAATCAGCATCAAACCTGATAAAAATGCCAACAGTCTCACAGTCATGGAGGCTGCCATTATTTGGTTTTACAGTATATTATTCATTAAGATGTAAAATGTTCATACTGAAAACGATTTCCCCCCTCCCCTCCCCTCCCCTTCATCCATTTGTTACTTTCAGACTGTACGTGATATCAAGTCATTAAGTATAAAGTCCTGACATAGTCAGGAAGCATGCAATGTACATCAGGGCTTGACACGATAGGGGTCTCACTGGTGAACCTCTTTTGTTCTCAACTCAACCCCCAAACATGAACAGTGTAGAGCCCTGTGTACATTCATTGTTTGTTAATGAAAAGTTAATCAATGTTGATGATGACATGAAAATGTTATAGATGTCAAGCATGAACTTCAGTGTTGTTTTATTATAATTTAGTGTTACAGTATACACAAAATTAATGTTTGCAGGTTGAATGAAAATCGTATAATGAATGAGATTTGTCAAGTTCATTGTTTGGCTAATTGTGACTTGACCAAGTGCATTTCATATCACTATTGAATGCACAAGCTTCAAAACATTAATTGTTTGTTTTATATGATGGGTCAGCAATATGAATATAAAGTCAACCTGATTAAAACACAATCATGGAGGTCGCCATCAAAATCGTGTAATGAGCGTTCAGTCAAATAGTATAATGTGCATCTTAATGCGCGCATCAATGCCCTTGCCATTTTAAACTACGTACATTTACTTTTGTAAGCGCTAGAAAGGCTTGCCAAGTATGAATTAAACTGGAATTAACATCAACCCCAAAATTCAAATACCTTGCTACATTAGATAATGTTCCTGATCTTTACAAAAAACAGAACAAATTGTTCCAGGGTCTATTTCAAAGTGTTTACTATTGCTCCCTAGTAGGTCTACAAAAATATCTCCCTTATTATGGCAATCGCATTGAGCATTCAGTATTAAATCCATGTATTTTGTAGCCTTATTTCCTACCGGTTGTCAGTTTGTTCCAACAAATATACTCAAGTTAATTATTGAAAAAAAAGATGCAATTCTTTGCAAAACAATTCCTCTAGATTGAAGG